GAGGAAGTTTTTCAAATAGAGGGTGAGGCACTGGAACAGGTTGCCCAAGGAGGCTGTGGATGCCCCATCCCTGGAGGCATTCAAGGCCAGGCTGGATGTGGCTCTGGGGTTGGCAACCCTGCACATAGCAGGGGGGTTGAAAATGGGTGACCATTGTGCTCCTTTTCAACCCAGGCCATTCTATGATTCTATGACCAGTCAGAGAAGCACAGCAGGTATCAACACAGAGCAGTTCTGCTCAGACTCAGCAATCAGCACTAGAGAAGAAAGAGCATTAAATGCAAGCGGTCACAAACAACAACTGTGTTTGTGAGTGCAGGAAACCTAGTATGCAGCACTGGATGTTAAAAATGTGATAAACTGCAAGTGAACAGCAGCCAGAAGTTGCTGGGAGGAGCACAACTGTATCTGCAGAGCAGCAACGTGACACCAGCACGTGTCTCACACCACAGAACAGCACCACCACAACAGCATCCCATCCCAGCAGTGAGAACAGCCTTGCACAGAGCAAGCACAAGTGGCAGGCAGGGCTCTGCTCACGCTGAAGGCACAGAAAATCCCATAGCAAACCCATGTGTTTAAGATCTGACTTCCCAGACTCAGCCTGCATCCCACAGTGGCACTGCCCAGGAAATACCTTGGTGACAAATTTGGTGCCACCTTATATAAACCTTAATTGAAAATGCTAACTTCATAATGAGTGGAACAAAACTGTGTAAAAACATTTCCCACTCTAAGCCTGGTTTGATCCCCCCCAGTATGGCCTTCTTTTGTAATTACATCCCTTTGTGATCTCGCTCTAATGCCTTGTATTGTGACCCATAAAATAATCAGCCCCCTTTGTCTCTCTCTAATCCTTTTAGACTTCCTTCTTGTCTCTACACTCTTATAAATGCTGCCATTATTTGGGCTCAGCAGCTCTTCCCACCACCCCAGAGCCTGGAAAAGGGGCTGCAGGTTAAACCCTGAATGTATTCCGTGCAGAGGAGCTGAACCCATGGGAAGACATGGGCTGCTTGGAAAACCAAACTTGCAACCTCCTCCCCTCAGCAGCAGCTTAGCAGGGAAAACAACTCGTGAGCATGCATATTCAGCAGACCTCTCTCTTTTTATATTTTGTAAATGGGAGCCTATGGGGAGAGCAGGCTGACCCCAAGATGGGCTGAGGATGGCCAGTGGGATGGAGGAATGGGATTCAGGGCGAGATGCAGAAGGGAAGGGGTAAGGAGCCCTGTAGGCACAGGGGATGCGTGGTGCTAGGATGGGTGATGATGAGTGGTCCCCTATGGCAAGGCAAAGGAGGAGTGTGGCACTGCCAGCCCAGCTCTGTCCAGAGCTGCTCTCATACCCAAGCACTCACACACTGGGCCTGTTTCAACAACCTTCAAGAAATGCCTCTGGATCCAAGTTGCACGATTGACTTACTTTCTCTTTTCTAATCTTTTTTTAATAGCACCAGATCAAACAGTGAAAATTGCTACTCTCAGGCTGGATGCGTGCAGAGCCTGAACCAATACCCAGTTAGATGGTGATTTCCAATTAGTGGTAACTGCTTGTTATTGAGTGATATAATCAATGGGTCTTACTCCACTGGCCGGGCTGTGATTTATGATGATGCAGAGCCAGCTCCATCAAATTACAGCATTGGCAAAAGGGCTGGAAATGCCACGAGACAACATGAGGAAGGCTGAGCTGAGCAAAGGGCAGCAGTGAGAAGAAAAGTGGAATCAATACCCAGGGCTATAAGAGAGCCACAGGTGGCTGCAGGTCAGGGAGCTTCCAAAGGAGTGGGCACCAGAGCTCAGGGGTGCCTTCACCCACAGACAGCAAAGTGGTGAGTGCAGATGGGCTCTGCTTTCTGGATGGGAGGGACAGCCACAGCCAGGCTCTCCTGGACACCTCAGGAGAACACCAAACTGATTTTAATTAAAACAGCACCGAGTCATGAGAAATTATGAAACTGTCATTAGGAAAAAGATCTGTATTCAATAAACTGATCAAATCATAAAAACATGCTGCATTCCACCTCTTCAACCTACACACCAGGCTCTGAACAGGGGCAGAGACACCAACGGAGAGCACCCCAAGCAGTGTGCCAGGCAGGGGTGGGAACGCCGAGGGCCCCTGCCTGGCTCAGCCACGCGTGCACTGCTTGCACTGCTTGCACATTCATTCAAAAGGAGGTGACAGCACAAAAATAAGACCAACGTGCTTCACGCACAACTTGCCAACCCACAGAACAGACAAGATCTGCTTCCCTCCGCTCAGTATCTTTGCTTATTAAGGACAAAATACAGAAATTCCCAAAGACTTCAGGCAATTTCCTCAGCCCATTTGTAGGAGGAAGGTTTTATGAAGTATTCACTCCATGGGGAAACTGAGGCAGGGGAGTAATAAGATCCGGGGCGGATGGGACTGACAACACAGGCTGCCCCGTTTCCCACTTCTACACACACCTATCACTGTGGCAGCTACAAACTGCAGCACCTTGGTGGTTTCCAGCCTGTGCCAAAGCCGTGGTCTCTTTGCCAGGCAGGGATTTCTGCCCCCCCAGCGCCAGCAGAGCCGCACGCGCCGCGGCTGCGAGCCCCATATTCTTCCACTTAAACTTCGCTTCATGCCAAGTGTCAGAGTACATTTGAAACATAAAAATATGATATCCAGCCCACATTTCCTGAATGCAAATATGTACATTCCTCCGAGCCAAGAAGATTATATTCCAAGCAATAATACAAAGCCGGGGTCTGTAACGGTGATATGAGACTAACAGCGCGCCTTTGAAGGCAGCAAAAAGTGCAGCGGAGCTCTCGAGGGGCTCTGCTCTGTCAGATCCCTTTTATTCCTCAGTAGCACGGCCTTGATCAACTTTCAAGATTTCTGTTTGCGAAAGGTTTCTGTTTCTCCTTTGCTTTTGTGCTCAGATGTCAGGCTCAGAGGGAAGAAGAGATCAGCGCTGGGATGAGGTTTTACCCACCGGCAGTGTTTACTTTGCTCTGCACAGGTCTGCTCAGCGCGTGGCTCTTTTCTTCCAGGCAGCCAGCACCCATGGCTTCAATGCAGTGCTCCCCTAAGATGGAGCTGACAACCCTTTGTTTGATTTGATTATCTGGAGCATGGAAGATCACTGTTACCCGCAGGTAACCGCCCTGAGATACAGAGGCTCGAGGGGACAGCTGGGATCTTGTTCTCAGGAGGTAGAAGTGAGCCCTGTGCTCCCACCCATCGTGCCAGGAGCTGAGTAGGACAGCAGGTTACACCTGCCCACAGCTTCCCCCAATACACTCCTGTTATCAGCAGAAGCTGTGGCATCGAGGCCAGGTGCCCTGCATTCTGTGCTGGCCTCATCCAGACATTTTCTCAGAGCCTGAGAAAGCCAGAATGGGCTCCTGTGCATCTTCAATGTGATCCCTTTTTTGTTTTGATTCACACGAAGATGGCTACAAAAGGAAATGCTATTCGGGGACACACAGCACATCACATACATATTGATGCCAGAGCCAAGATAACAGTGTTTATTGACAATCTGCTATCCCAAAGGTAATTCCTCTGGCTCTCATGTCTCCTGTTTACAGGTCTGAGAAGTCTGACACTACGCTTGCACGTCAGCCAGCTCACAGCTCATAAATGCCAGAGCCATTCACAAAAGCGCTCCGAGGTTTAGCACCGCAAGACTGACAAGTTTTAGATCCAGCTGCTAATCTGGCATGGACCCAAGGCCCTTGGCTCCTGGACAATGTCATTTCTTACACTACTGAAAAGCTAGGTTTGCAGATGGCCACTTCATGCACATGGGAATTGTTATACACAAGGGCTGAAGTGTTCCCTTGGTGGGCTGCCAGCAGACCCCAGCGCGGCGGGGAGCGGGACGCAGAGCTTCAAAGGGCCCCCCAGGCTGGGGACTGCCACCAGGGGACACTGGGTCTGGCCCCATACTTTGCCATAGACTTCTCTGCTTTGCACCAAGAAAGCATGGGGTAGCTTGCATATACAATGGAAGAAGCAGTAAGGGGATTGCACACTAAGAATAGTGGTAGCCACCTTCCAAAGAAGCTGGAAGACAATTCAATAAAACTTAATTTAACAGATCAGCATCTGGCCAGGTCTCAGGATCTTATCAGGCACCCATGTTCCCAGCTTTACAGAAATTGTACTTAGCAGCAACTTCTCATTACAAGCAAAAAGGACGAGCAGCAGTCTGAGAACAAAGCCATCTACACAAGGACAGAAGCATCCGTGAACAGCTCCTGAGCTCTGCTTCAGTCTCAGGACAGATCCACAACTAGAGCTGGCAAGGGGGAAGCCACTAGAATCATAGAATCATAGAATCACAAGGTTGGAAACAACCTGCAAGATCATCTAGTCACATGTCTAGCAGACACTCCAAGAGGACCACAGCCACTGCAGCACTTCCAGATGCAAAGGGCTGGAGTTGCAGCCAGCCCTGTAATTCTTCCTCCCCCACCTTTAAATTTCATTCCCTCACTGACATTTTCATCTCTCTCCTCCTCCAGGCTCACCCACCAGACTATCTGTCTGGTGTTGTTAGCCTTGCCCCCAAAGGCACTGCCACGCTTGATAGTAAATAAGACCTTGCTGCCTCCACACTGCCTGTCTTAAATAACAAAATGAGAGAAACCGTGACCTTCTGAAGGTCTTCGCCTCTGGTTTGGGAAGTACTGCCTGCCAAGCAGAGCCCATCATGCTGCAAAGGTGATCCTGGTTTCAATCCCCTGCCACCAGCTCAGGCCACTCAGGGCCCATTCAGCCCTGCCTTGGGCACCTTCAGGGATGGGGCACGCACAGCTCTCTGGGCAACACTGTCAGGGCTTCACCACGCTCTGAGTGAAGAATTCCCACCTGACATCTAGCCTAAATCTCTGTTCTTTCAGTTTGAAACCATTCCTCCTTGTCCTGTCACCATCAGAGCACGCTTCCCAGCAAAGCCAGAGCCCACAGCAGAACCACGGCACGAGGTGCAGGCAGACAAAGCCTCTACTTACTCGCTGCTTGGATCTTCGCCTTCCGGCTCACCACCAGCCCATAATGGTTTTGTGCCATGCAGTCGTACTCGCCCTCGTCCGAGGAGCCATCTCCCCGGATCCTCTGGAAGCGGGAGACGTACAGCGAGCCATTGGCCAACATGAAGGCGTTCTCGCTGTCCACGATCATGGCGCCGTTCTTCCGCCACGTGATGGTGATGGGCTGGATGCCTTCCACCTGGCAGTAGAGGATCAAGGGCTGCTCCTGCACCGCTATGTCATCGCTGGGCTCCACAACGAACGCCAGCTCAGAGGAGTGACCAAAATCTGAAAAGCAAGAGAGAGAAGGGCAACGTGTCAGCAGCAAGGCAAAGCAACAGCCAACACTAATGCAGCTAACAGGCCATGAGGAAAACATTCCAGTAAAACAAGCAACCTTTGGGAGTGCTTTGCATCCGAAGGTTTTGCCCTCAAAATCCCAGGGTTCGGTTTCCAAAGGCACATCCACAGACACAGCCCTCCAAGGCTGAGATAAGTTACTGCAGAATTAGTCCCAACAAATCCATCGTACAGATATACACTCATTTACTTCTTTTGCCAACTGAACGTTGGAACTCCGTGTCTTTGGCCTGCTATGCTTCATTTGGTCCAGCACACCTTTTTAGGGTATAATTTGCCATACAACCATGATTAGGCACTACAGAAGACAACAGAAATAGAGCTATTGTTTAAAGTTTAGCCCAAGACACACGCTGACATGAAAGACCAAGAAACAGGAGTCACATAAATATTTGAAGGGTGTAAACGCAGTGATGGAGGCAATTTTTTTATTTATTTATTTTTTAAAAAAGGGAAGAGCAATGAAGAAATTCCAGAAGAGCAAGAAAACTGCTATTTCTGAGCACAGGGAAAACCATTCTGGCCATTCTCTTGTGCAGCTCCCACAGCTCTGCCCTGACATCCAGCTTCCCCCTTCCCCTGGGCTCCAGGGGCCCAATGCCACTCGTTCCTGCAGAACTGGGATGCACGTGGCCAACATCTCCCAGCAAACAGAAGGCACAGAATGGTCTTTGTGATGCCTGCCTCTGGCAGAGCCCAGCACAGCCAGGATCCCACCATGAAAAAGGTTAAACTGAGTGGAGAGCAGCTCGTTAATGCATGGGAGGAGTACGAGAGAGTTATCCTAAAAGAGAAAAAAAAAAAAAAAAAAAAAAAGGGAGAGGGGAAAAAAAAAGAAAAAATGCCTGGCTTTTTTTCGCTCTGCAAACCCAGTGAGATTTTTTTCTTTCTTTCTGCAAATCCCCATTGCTTTCTACGGCAACTTAAATTGGATTACGGGGGATAAACATTGAGTGCAACCTGAGCCAAGGCAGATGGACGGAGCAGACAAAGAAGGCCGGGGTAGTGCAGGCAGGTCAAAGGTACTGCTGTCAAGGTATGAGTGTGCAGGGAATGGACAAACTCTACTTAGTGACAGACACCTAAAGCACACACTTTATTAACCCATTAAGTCTTAAAATGTCAGGCTAGCCCCAGCCATCTCAGTGATCTATCGCTCGATGTGACTTCCCTCTTTATGAGATAGCCTTGGGGTCCTCTCTGCAAGTTACACTGCAGCCAGCACAAAGCCATCAATTACTTTATGAAAATTAAGGAATTGAGATGAATGCTCTGCATTTTTCTGCAAAGTGGACACAGCCTCACCAGCACCAACCATGCTGGGGCCCCACCCCACGTTATACAGGATAAGGACCCCCTCCTGCCTCCCCACAGACTGACCAGGAATTCAGGATTTAACCTAAAAGACAATCAAAATAAAACAACCAGCACAAATCCTAATGAATTAAATGCCCCATCTTCCCCCAGCTCCCTTGTATTCTCAGATAAAACAGCTTATTATTATATGTACAATAAAGGAAGAAAGGAAGAATCAACATAATTACATGCCCTTCCCACAATAGCTGTCATTATAATAACCATCATTAAGGCGTGTGATTGGAGATAATCATGTTTACCTCCATAAACATTCGGTCTGCATCCAAACCACGGGCTGCTCGAGCAGCAGCAGTGAGGGCACTCACAATTAGGACTGGTGCCCCCCGACACAAACTGGGGCAGGGATGGCTGCTGGCTGCTCCTGGGGTCTCCTTGGGACTGTGCCTCCAGGTGTGACACCGGACACTGATTGTTTTGTTCCCTACAGACGCCTGACAGCACCAGAAGCACTCCAAATTCTGGCTCCTGGGATGCTTTTCTGACCTTGAAGAAATCCCACTGCCACTTCCCTGAGCTTCAGGGCAAGGCAACCAGCTGATGGGATGCATGAGGAGAGGGAAACCCAGCCCCTCCATACATCAGACAGATAACAAGTGCTAAAATGGGATTAAGAGAGAAGCCAAGCTCTGTCCTTCACCCCAACAGCCCATATAAGCTCTGGGATGCTGCACCATCCAGTGCTGCGCAGCATAAGGAACAAGCATGAGAAACCAGTCCACAAACTGCCCAGCCGAGGGTCCATGGGCTGCTGCACAGCTGCTCTGAAGAAAACAGGGCACAAGACATGGTAGGAACCAGGCACCTTACACATTTTGTCCTCTCTGAAATATCCCCCTGCATCCACTTGGCTGTAACCGCAGTGGGGATTTCCACTCAGTGGGATTTCTGACATATAACGTGGATTTCAAGAACTGGGCTCTGAACAGATGAGGCTGAGGTCTGGCCTTCCAAATGGGCACTGTGGGGACACAAGTCCTCAAAGCAGACCCCAGAACTGGGGTAAGAGGTGAAGGCAGCAGGATGAGGTACTGGGGACAAGGGGCAGCCAGCTCTGCTAGCACCAATATCCAACCAGGCAGCAGCGAGGCACAGAAATGATGGAACTGGAAGCAAATGACGCTCTGAACATGCATGGAAACAGCAAAAGTGTGACTAATTGTGAGAGAGGAAATCACTGAGGTCACACACGTTCCCTATAGAGTCTAAAAGCCCCAACCACAGGCTGAGTACCAAACCTGCCCATCCCACACAGCACCCCGGGCCCCAACCCTGCAGCATTGTGCTCTGCAGTGCCACCCCTGGAAGCATCCATGGGGCTGGAGGTGAGGAGTTCACCCATCAGAGCCCTCAGCCCTTTGCTGGGCAACCTCCTTCTCTCCTACAGAAGGATGAAGGGAGGAAGCCTTATGAGCTCTGACGTAAAGGCCACGAGAAAATTATTGGAACCCTCACCCTACAAGTCTCCTTTTGAGAAACATTTACCATCTCCCTCAGCTACACAATATGAGACGATATGTGCAAATATTTAACAAAAACTACTTCCCCTATTGATCAAGCAGACAGGCATACTCAGAGAAACCAATTAGCACTCGTGCTTTTGAACCAAGAGATTTATTTAGTGCTGAGAGAAAGAACTTGGAATTAATGGGAAGCTTAAAAGACACTTTGAAGTATATTTAAAAAAAAAAAAAAAGTTTAATTATTTTTCACTTGACACTGTGATTCATGCTCAAGGCTTCAAAAGGACTCGCTCGTATCTGAGTATTGTCCTTTTCCATTTGGGAAACGTGGCGTTGAATTCTGTCCTGTTCTTTGGAAAGGTACAGCAGCCCATCCCACCAAGGAAGCCAATGCCATAGAATCACAGAATGGCCTGGGTTGAAAAGGACCACAAAGCTCATCCAGTTCCAACCCCCTGCTATGTGCAGGGTCACCAACCAGCAGACCAGGCTGCCCAGAGCCACATCCAGCCTGGCCTTGAATGCCTCCAGGGATGGGGCATCCACAGCCTCCTTGGGCAACCTGTTCCAGTGCCTCACCACCCTCTGTGTGAAAAAATTCCTCCTATTCCTATCAGGAATGCCAATCCCAAAGGCCCAGCTCCCAACAGCCTGCCCCATCCCTGCACTGCCCATGGTCACAGATGGGGCCTGGGCAACCCAACGTGGTGAGGGCAGTCAGCCCACTGCAGTGGGACTGGGTGATCTTTAAGGTCCCTTTCAACACAACCACTCCACAACCCTACAATTCACCTTGGATCTTCAGCCAACGCACCCAGCCCTGTCCCAGCAGCACATCCTTGTGCGAGCAGAAAGCTCTCATGTGCCCTCCCCTGATTTACTGTGTTTGTTCCCCATGTAATGCAGCATAAATCAGCAGTGACCCACCAGCAGCCATCACCAAGGTTATCCTCTGGTCCTGCTTCAATAAAGCCAAAAGAAAGCATCCCCGCTCACGAGCAGAGATCTGGGGCTTTTACAGGGGGCTGCGGGTTGGTGCTGGGACAAAGAACAGGGCAGGTTGGGATGGACCAACAAAATACAACTCCTGCTTACTGTCAGTGCTTTAATTTTTAAGCACTCCTGCAAATGCAAAGAGGTGGAGGGAGCAGCTCTCCGCAGCTGAAAGGCGTTCTCCTGCAGATTAAAGCAGGTTTCAGCTGATGAAATTGGCAACCTAAAAACCCAGCTGGTGCCCCCTAAATCTCCTCCAGGCTGACCCAGACACTAACGAGAAAAGCACTACGCTGCAGTAAAGTGCAAATTGGCTCTTTAGGGCATCCAGAAAAAATTTACATGCAAAGAAGAGGAGAATAGGCTGCAGCATGCCCCACATCTTGCTGGCAGTAAAGTTTACTAGCTCAGAATTTTTTATTCCCTTTCCTTTCGGACAGAGGCTACGCAAAGTGATTTCTCCATCAGGTACCCACTTGCTATGGGACTGCATGGATAACAGGAGATCTTGGCCACCTGATGCCAAGTTCAGACACACAGCCAGCATCTCTGCCCTGGGTTTTAGCCAAGGAAGGTAAAAACCCCACTCAGAGAGGCACAGAAATGGCTCCAAATAATTTTCAGATGTTTGAGACCAGATCGGGCCAATCCCAGGAGGCTGCTCGTTAAGCACAGTGTGGAAGCAGGAAGCATTCCCAGCACAAAGGGCCCTTCCAGGACATGCTCTGTGAGCCCTAAAGAAAGGGCACAGCCTGGCAATGATGCTGGAAAGGGCAAAGACCCTTTTCATGCCAACAGCTCTACCCACAGGAAGGAACCCAGCCCCATGCTGTCATCCATTCCCCACACTATCAGCAGCCCCAACCAGATCACACCTCTCATACAAACACAGAATGGCCAGGGAGAGAAAGGATGAGAACAGAGCTGGGCTCAGCATGGCCACGGGCACCCCGACATCACCAGGTCCCATCACATGGCCCTGAAATTTGCGTGGTGTGCTGGTGGGCAGGAGCACACAATGCACAGGGAGAGGCAAGGTCCTTCTGGAGGCACAGAGCTTTCTGCACGCGTTAAACACTTTGAAGGTCTTCACCACATCATGTTCTAAGGAAGCACCCCATTCCCTCCTCCTTCCTTTCACTTCCCTCCCTCTCTGCCCCATCACCTCCCACCCCACAGCTCTGAAATTTGGGATGGAGGAAAGCACCACCTCAGTCATCTCAATGCACAGCTGAGCACTGCAGCACTCCCTGACATCCAAAAGCAGAGTGAAACCCAACCACTTCTCTCCTGTTTTGTGCGCTCTCAGGTTCTGGCAGCAAAGCTCCTCATACAGAAACATCCCCCATGTGCAAAAAGCCAGAAAGGCAGCAAATCCTCCACTCTGGCTTTAAGCTACCGACACAGGAGCACGTTGGCTGATAAGTGAGCAGGCTCCCCGTGAGCAGAGGTACACCACCACGTGATGCAGAAGCGAGGCAGAGCAGCACGCTGTGCGCTTTGCCAACATGCCTCCCTCTTCTCTTAAAGTGCGATTATTGACATGTTTGCCTCCTTAAACCATTGGTTTTATGTGCTTGCCAATGGCTCCTGAACACGTGCAAACAATTATTTTTATTTTCTTGCAAAACCAAAATGTTGCATATTCTTTTGGATAAACCAAGCTCGGGTAGGTTTTCATGAGCCCCGCTCCATAATTTATTAGTTTCTAAACTCTGTAAAACTAAAAGCTCCAGTAAAGTTCAAATAAGTTTGTGATTTCAAAGTAATTTTGAGCAGACTGTTCGTGTTCCTGCCCAGTGCTATTCAGCTGATTTCAATGGGAATTCTTCATCTGCAGAGGGGGGCTCCAGCATTGTTCTGTTAGATCAAATAAAAGGACAATATCCGGGGTCAGAAGCCCGGGAGCACAAAGCACGAGGAAATGGTGGTGGGGGAAGGGGGCACAGAGAGAAGCATCTTCTGCCCCAGATCCACTGCTGGCTATGGAATGGAACACTGGGGCAGTGCGTGGCTTTGGGGCCACACCAACACTGGCAGCAGCTTTTTGTGATAGCCACTGCCCCACGTCACACTGCCATCAGAACCAGCACAAGGTCCCCGCAGGGCTTTGCTGCCCCAGCATTACACACAAAGGTGTTCCTGGAGGGAAGTGGGATGGGAGGTGATGGGGCTGCGAGCCCCAGGTTTGGGCTGCAGGGGGTCAGTGCTCAGCACTGTGAAATGGGGCTCTGCAGGAGCAAGAAATCACAGGGAGAAAAGCTCAGACAGAGGGAAAGGAAGGCAGGAGGCTTTCTCATGTATACACGCATAGAGGGAGAGGTTTTGCAGCTCTCTGCTAAGCTGCTCTGCACTGCCTGTCAGCCAAAACTGGGATCGAGCAAAGAGAGGCAGGGACCCAGGCTGCAATCTTGGATCCTCTGCCACCATCCGCTCCTAACGAGAGCAGGAGCTCGCAATGTGCATGACGAGTAACAAGGCAGAGAGCAATCTGATCAGCGCAGCATTTCCAGCTCCCTGTGCTGGGGATGGCAGGGTGGAGTGGGGGCACCAACCTGCCCTGCAGCACTGTCCCTTGGCTGGCTCTCAGATCCCCCAAAGGAAGCTCAGTATCGGTGGCACCAGCAGACACAAGCCCTACACTGTCCCAAATGCAGCACGGGTCCCAATGACCGCCCCAGCCTGGGGAAAGCAGCAGCCCTGCGCCCAGAGCTTCTCCTGTTGGACCCCTCAAGAGAAACAAAACTCAAACGTGAGCTCGAATTTCATCCACTGTCTTTGAGTGGTACTGGGGAAATGATACCAGATACCCTCTTACATATATTGAGAAAAAACTGTATATTGTGTTACACCAATTTAGGAGAAGGAAGTCCTTCCTCACATCAAAAACCAAAAACACAAAGCCACGCAGAGCAGGAATTAGCGAAAGCTTACGGCTTCAATAATTCAGAAGTTAAGCCTACTTAAATATAAATGACGATGCTTAATTCCGAGGCTGCTACTGAGCACAGCCCTGATATCCTATGCCTGCCTCTGAATGCTGGGCTCAGCAAGAACAGACAAAAGCTGCCCACGAACCAAAACAAAGCGCTCCAGGAAATTAAGGGGGAGAAAAGAAAAAAAATAAAAGAAGCAGACAGTGTCCCACTGCTGAGCGCACCCAACGCGCTGCGTTTGAGCCGCGCGAATGGGAGCCAAGCGGGTGGGAAGGGCGAAGCATCCCGGGCGGCACCTGCGCTCATGGTCCCCATCCGTCCCTTCTGCCCCGGCCGCAGGAGGCTGTATGGGATGCAGGGATGCCTCACTGCTCAACACAGCGAGGGTGGGGGGAAACCTCAGGGCTGGAAAACTTCTCATGCACAGCCAAGCGCCCGTGTTGGTCCTTTACAACCGGACAGCGCGCAGCCCAGAGGCTGCCCTACCGAACCGCAGCAGAACGCGACACACGGGACAGCGAGACAGCGGCAGGCAAACCCAACTCAGCAAGGTTTTGCTTTCAACGATTCTCTCTTTTCTCTTTTCTCCCCCCCGCCACAGAAGAGGTGCATTTGCAGCCAACCCCGTGCACAGTTGTGCTCCCAGGAACCCCAGCAGAGCGGCAGGACCCATCCCCTCACATCCCCTCGCATCCCCCGCAGGTTGCTCCCGTTTCCCAGTACGAACCGCTGCGAACCACGTGGCGAAGTCCGCGCTGGGAACAACCCGCAGCCCATCTCAGAACGCCCCGCATCGCAGCCGATCTCCCGCACGCTCCCCTCCCTCTGCCCACAGCGGGCCGTCTCAAGCAGTTCCCGAGCGAAAGGAGAGCACGGGAGGCACGAGAAGCACCGCGGTCCCACCGCGCGGCACAGCACCGCTCCGCAACACCGCGCGAGCCCCGCGTCGCGTCAGCGGGCAGCGTCCCGTGCGCTGCGTGCGGCAGCTCTGCCCGCTCTGCCCGGCCGGCTGCACGCCGAGCCGGGGAAGCACGGCGCGGCACTTCGGGGTTCAGACCGGCGCGCTGCCAGCCGCCCCGCTCTTACGGCCGCCGAAGCACCGCTCGGTCTCGTTCCTGCAGCCGCGGCTTCGGGCGGGCGCGGCACTCGATGCGGCCGGGCCCCCAGCCGGCCGGGGGCCGTTCCGTCCAGCAGCCCCGAAATCTCAGCCCCACGGCCCCGTCCTTCCATCCCACGCGCGGTACCGCGGGCGGCGCCGGGCCCCGCTCGGCCCAACGGGAGCCCGACGGAGCGGCGGCGGCGTCCGCAGATGGGGAAGGGGCCGGGAGAGGCGGGGGGGTCCCAGAACGGAGCGCGGAGCACGGGCTGAGCCCCGCTCAACGAAGGGGATGAGGAACCGAGAGACGGACGGAAAGCGGCGCCGGCTGCAGGCGCTGCAGGTCCGCCGCTCCCCACGCCCTTACCTCCGCAGCAGAGCAGCAGCAGCCCCAGCAGGCGGGCGGGCAGCGCGGAGCCCCGCGGGGCCATGGCATCCCGGGCGGGCGGCTCGGCTCCCTGCGCCCCGCCGAGAGGGAGCGGCCCAGGAGGGAGAGAAGGAGAGAGGCGAGAGCCACCCTCCAGTGGAGGGAGGAAAGGAAGAAAAAAGAAAAACTAAAAACAAACAAACAAACAAACAAAAAAACCCAAGCAACCAAAAACGGGAGTGAAGAAAGCAAAAAGCGGATTTCAGCGCAGCTCCCCTCCGAGCGAGCACGCCGCCGCGCCGGGCGGGCGGGGGGCGGTGCTGAGGGAGCGGGGCCGGCGGGGGCGGGCAGCGCCTTGCGCCATCTTGCGTGTCCGCTCCGCCAGGGGCTCCGAGCGCCCATCGCGTCCCTCAGGGCCGTTCTTTGCCGGCGTCCCCTCAGCGGAGCCGCCTCGTGGGTCTCTCCCACCGCCATTCTCCTGTTAGGGGTCTTCCTCGCGGATCACCGCTGAGGGATGTGTCCTCTCCAGTCTCCCTTCGCTACCGTTCGCTCATAGGTCTCTCTTTGCCACACGGCTTTGCTCTGAGAGGAAAATCATTCCCTCAGTGATGTCCGCTCATCTCCTGGCTGCTCTCCCCTCAGCGCTGTTCCCCACAGGTGGCAGTTGGCACGGGGCAGCCCACGCTATCAGCAGAATCATAGAATCACAAGGTTGGAAACGACCTGTAAGATCATCTAGTCCAACCGTCTTCTCATTACCACTGCTGCCACAAACTAAACCGTGGGGTTTAGGGGATGTTTTCGTCGTGTCTGCCTCAGGATCTGGCCCCTCACTGGTGCCATCGGTGCTCGTTCCCTGTGTTGGAAATGGTGCCCAGGCCTGCAGCACAGGTGAGGTCAGAGCTCTGAGTCCCTCAGCTGTGCCCACACCTGGGAGCTGCCTCTTACCCGCCTTGAGGGATGGTAACCACAAAGCTGGCATTAAACTGGGCTGCAAAGAGAGAAGGTGCTGATGAGATGGAGCAGCTTTGGACTGCTTCTGTCGTGGGTTTCATTCTCAGGCTGTCTTGGAAACCCAAACTGCACACTGAGTTGGTTGTCAGTGCCTGGAGGTGCATCTGCAGAGAGCGGGGCAGGGGAGTTGCAGAGTGGCAGCTGGGAAGAGATCCCAAACCTGGGGAGGCACAGAGGACAGGCACGACAAAGAGCTTGGCTTGTCCCAGCCCAGCGCTCCTTATTATCACAGAATCACAGAATGGCCAGGGTTGGAAGGGACCTCAAAGATCATGAATCTCCAACCCCCTGCCACATGCAGGGCCACCAACCTCCTCATTTAATGCTAGAGGCTGCGCAGGCTGCCCAGGGCCCCATCCAACCTGCCTTGAACACTTCCAGGGACAGGGCATCCACAACCTCTCTGGGCAGCCTGTTCCAGCACCTCACCACTCTCTCTGTAAAGAATTTCCCCCTAAGCACCATCATGACTTAGCTGGGTGAGTCATACAGCCATACTGCCTTCGAAGGTGCTCTTGTATTTGATGACCAACCCAGCGAGGAAGGATTCAGCAAGGGATGAGGTGCCTAAATCCTACCACAGCCTGAAGATAATGTACCAGCTTATGTCCCTCCTGCCATGAAATGAGGTAACACACCCCTGCCCAGCTCTCAGCCCTAATGCCAGTACAGTACCTTGCTGTCCTCCCACTGGTGCTGCCCAATACTCTGCTCCTCTCTGCAAATACAACTTCCTCTCATCATTATCATCATTAGTAAAGTCATCTCTTCAGTGACTGCTCAAAGCCTGTTGTGTGTTTGTCTGAGGGCAGAGGGGGGAAGACAAAAGAAAAAAGAACAACAGAATTAGATCTTAAGTCTAATTCTTTGCACCAAAACAGGTTACTAATCCTGCCTTGCCCAAAAACTGATGACAACACTTTTTAAAGACAGGCAATGGATAGAGACAGTTCCCTGGATGGTGCACTCTGATGCAGTGGAGCCGGTTAGCATGGAAAGAAGACTTCACTGCATCTGCTCCACATTAAAGGTTTGCTCATTTAGAGCAGAACTGATCTGTAAGAAGTTCCTTTCAGTGGGGAAGAATTTGCTCTGGGCTGAACTGGCCCTGTTGGCCTCTCAGGAACATCTGAATTCCTGCACCGTTGCTGACCTTTTGCACAAACTCTGTTCCTGCTTCCTGCTCCCCAGCCATCTCCCTGGCTGCCACCATGCAAGCATTTCTCTATTACTCACAGTCACTACAGGCTCATAGCAGCTCCAGGAATGCTACCAGTGTGGTAAGCATGCTCCAGAGTCTGACCAGCCCCATGAATGTCTTGTCAGAATCAGTAACTCTAAGGGAAAAAACAAACAAACAAACAAAAAAACCAACCCACCAGTGTGTTTTGTAGTGCTTCTTTCCCCCAAAAGCCTGATTTTGGATGCTTTTGCTCCTGTGTGTAGGTGATAGCAAGGGTGGCAGTGGCAGGACACAGGACTGGGGATAGGCAGCCATCTCTTCGAGGGCATGACTCAGTTTAGCCCACATCTTGCAGCTGACATTGGTGACACCACTGGTGTCACATTTAGAAATCCCAAGTGTGCCCAACAATGGGACTCATGTTAAAACCAATGAGGTTTTCAAAGAAAAATGCAAGTTTACAGCCTTTCTTAGAGTTACTTGAGGACAGCATCTGGAGCACTCATGTTTTTCTGTGCTCTTCTGTAACTATGACAGCTTAAAAAGTTTCTTAGTGTTGGATCCAGGAATTTGTTTATCACACTGTGAGCAGAAATCTGAAAAACAGCCCCTCATGCAGGGGGGTCCGAGCACCATCTGTCTGTTGTCCCCCCCAAAAGTTACCCAAGTTATCCTCCATGAGAGCCAGCTCAAAGGGCTCAGCTCACCCCCTGCTCTGTGAATTTCTATCAGCGCCAGAAGTGCTCCTGATTTACACCAATTAATTGCAGACTGAGGTCCCCAAGACACCATTAGTAATTTCAGGGAATGAAGCAGGAGATTAACCTGTCTGAATTAACTCCACTTATTATTCTCTGTGTAACTGTGGTTTCCCTGTCTGCTAACAGTCTGGGAGCTTTTCACTTCCATAAATATATGAGAGGTTTTGGCGTCTGTTTTGCGGTCCGTGTCGTAGGAGAGCCAAAATCAGGGCACCCACCTGGAGGTACTGAGCTCTGCCACTCCCGGGAAGTGCTCCTGGAAGCTGCTTTTCAGCATGAAAACTCTGCTATCCGTGCTCAGGGCTGTGGCTGGGACCAGCCCAGGCTGTGTGACAGAAGGGTGATGACATGGTGTTGCTGTATGTCCTTGGTCAGACCTCTCTCCCTCGGGCATGGCTGTAAAATACTGCACGGAGGCATGCTGCTGTTTCGAAAGCCTGGGAGAGGCTTTACAACTGCTGAGTTACACATTGCTTGCAGTGCAGTGTGTGGTATGGGGTGCATACAGCTGTGGAGCATCATCCCAAGCCACCTCCTTGCATCACAGCCCTTTGCCTCACATTGTGCCACTTCCCACCAAGCTGTGCTGGGCAGTGTTCTATATCAGCTGCTTACTGATTGACCTGACCAGAGCCTTGAGCTCAGTGCAGTGATATTGCCAGCTGCATCACGGCACAGGATATAGGGGTGATAAATGCTAGCAAAAGAATGAAATGCAGACAGACACCTTGCTCTTACCTTCACTCCTCTGTAATCCCAGTTCCCCTGTAACTGCTCTGTCTGTGAATCCCTCTGCTGTTAACTCAGTTGCTGCCTTGTTTCCAGTTGTCCCACTCAGCAGCATCACACTGAGAAGTGGGACAAGCAGTCAACCCCCCACAAAGGTCCTTCCTCGCTCATTACCTGTCATTAAGAGAAAGACTCATCGGAGTTACAGTTTGACAGAGTTCCCTTCAACCACCATCAGAGAACACTATGCTAAGTGGAGATTTATTACCACCATAATGCAGATAAAATGAGATTTTATGGCCCTGTAGTCCTGGAAGCATAAAGCAATAATGGAAGCTATCTACTCAAGTAGGGAATGCATCCTAGGAAGAAAGGGAGATGCATGGGAGGTTAATAGCGTTCCTCAGGCACTGCCAGACATCTTCTCACCAATCTGGCTGGACACAAGCCACTAAGTGTTTAATTTAGTGCATCATCTAAGAGAAGTCACCATTTGTTTGCTAGATGCTTCTGCTTATTTTCCAAATAAAATTCCTCAACAATGTAATGGATGAAACTGGACTTTTTTTTAAATAGGAATCAGCTCAATAGCTGAGAAATGAGCAAGCATCAAGAAAGACCTACTGACCCCAAACTGTGCCTGAAATCCCAGAAGAGCGATGTCTAAGGAAGAAAGCACTCACCACCATAACACTCCCAGCCTCCATGGTTACAAGCTCAGGCACTGAAGTGAGCATGAATCCCCAGTCCTGCTCCCACCAGCAAGCACTGAAGCTGCAATACAACCTCCAGTTAGCAGACCAGATACTGGTTCTGGGCCTCCACTCTTTCCATCAGTGATCTCTATCAGCTCACACAGATGAACAAGACCTGCATCAGTCGGGTATGGACTGCAGAGAGGTGGTGAAACCTATGCCATCTTCACACTGTAACCCAGCACAACATCAGAGGCACTCTGCCATGTAGCCTCAGGGCTGTCAGCTGCAAGGCCTTGCTCAGATCCATCCAGACAGGAGTTCCTCAGGTAAGCACGAGGAGATTGGAGATGTAAGCAAATACACACGCGGTCCCTCTCACAGCACAGCTCTAATCAGGCTGCAGAGATACATCACAAGCATTGGGGCAGGATCAGCCTTCCACAGCAAAACTTTCCCTCAGAGCAAGAGCTGTAGAAGATGGACTCATGAGACAAATTCCACTGGTTTTCTGTTGTGTGTTTTTGTGAGGTTTTTTTAGGATTTTATTAATAATCCATTAGTTAAGGAATATAAGGACAACGTTGTCTTACACTTTAGCACTAAAGAGTATTTGTGGAGTAAGAACAGTCTCTGAAGAAAGAAAGTTATAATTAAGTACAGCATGGAACCAAATACAGACACAATCTTCAAACAAGATCAAGTTCTGGTTACACATCCTTATGCACTGTGCAGAAAGTTAAACAAAATTTGATTTTAAAATATTAGCATAGGAACATGATAACAGAACTAGATGGTAGATTTCTGCTGGACTAAACACCTCTTTTCTAACAAGGGTATTGATTAGAAAAGACACAATGATCCCTTCAAAACATCTATTTCTAATGAGATCAAAAACATACACAGTGATCCACTAAAATGGGTGTTTTCTTATAGGTGTGTTTCATGGGCTGATCTCAGGATTATTAGCTAGTAACATAACAAATTCTCAAAGCCTAGGTTATAAGTTAGCTCATTTTAACTACTTAAACCAGAGCCTTACTGTCTGTTAAGTAAGAAATCAAATCGAAAAGTTGAGATATTCAGCTCAGTCGTGTATTTCATCTAACAAAGACCTAAAAGAAGAAAAGGAGTAAGAATTGTGACTCTCACAGCAGCATGGGAAATATACAGTTGTGTAGCCAAACGGTAACATTAATACCACAAAATTATGCCAGTGAGACAAATTTGACATTTCAACAAAGTAAAACAACACACACTGGCAAAAAGCTGAATAGCAATAATCTTTAGTGTTACTGCAAGGGAGAAAAGGGGGAAGGGAGCCTGATGATTAGGAACATATATTAAGTACAATGGGTAATTAAAGGTATCAACAGTTTGAGTGTCTGTGAGAAATCTGCAAGAAAGCTACTTATTTCATGATAAAAAAATATATGCACTGGTTGTTTCAAGCTTTACACAAAACGTATGTTATCTGTCTTCTTCCTTTCACTTCTAATCCAGTCCCACAGTCCCTAATCAGGATAGGTGGGGCCTGGGGTACAGCTGCACCAAACGAGGGCGCAGAGATCAGCTTTGCTGCTGCCAATCAGCAATGATCTCTTGTTTCTGAGAGACCCGCTCTGATTTCTGCAGCTGAGGTTTGCTGCCATCAGTCCACTGCCACCGCAGCACCTGGACATCCAACACTGCCAGCTTCGTGCTTCAGAAGGCTCAACGTGAGGAAACAAAGTGTTTCTGTGGTGCTTAAGGAGAGCGCTCTGCTCTCAGAGCATGCGACAACTCAGTGGTTTGTGACTGGCCCAAGATGATCCAGGTGAGCAGTGCCATACCATGCTTGCTTGTGCGGGCTTCGGTGACAGGCAGGGATGGACTCTGGGCTGATCAACATTGCTCAGCCCACGGTTATGTGATTCCTAAAATAGGGAGAGACAAAGCAGAGGGTGGATGTACCTAGGAGTATCCCTATGGCACAGCCCTTCATCAGCCATGGGACTAAGCCTCCATCCACACAAGTCCTCTGTATGGAAAGATCAGGGCTGACACAGGTACAGCATGATCACAGAAGTCAGTAGAGCTCCAACATCCGTTGTGCCTGCTGCTGGCCCAACTCCTCCTGGCACTGCCCTCCAGCAGTGAGATATCAGTGGAAGTAATCCTTTGGCATGCTTTCATGCTTGCAGATGGCAACTTGCCTTTGGAGATGAAAGAAGTCACCAGAGGTTCTTCTAGAGTGAGCTTTTTTGGAGCACAGTCTTCATCCCCTTTTGCACACCAAAGTCATGGCTTGTCCAGGGCAAGGACTCCCCCATGAAATTAACTACTAGCTCAGGTCCAGCTACGGAAATCTGTCCCCACCCTCCACAGCTGGTTCCTGATAGTCCCCAGTTGGAGGGTTTACACTCCTGCAATTGCATCCGCTCTCATATAACTGTGAATTACCCTTATTGCCTGCAATAACACTTCACTGCCTTATCGGTAACACTGCTAAGTTGTTAGTTTCAAAGTCTTGTGGCAGTGAGTTCTTGGAGGTTAATGATGCACTTCCAGTGCCCAGTTATCATGGCTTTCTAGCTTCATGCACTAACTCCTGCCTAGCACTGATTTTCAGCCATGGTGCTTCAGAGCCCAGAACAGCATTTCTGAGACTCCTCAACTGGAGTTGCTCTGAACACCAACTGGAGCAGCTGAGTCAACTGCAACAAGTAAAGTACAGTACAGTACAGAAGTACGTGTAACAGGGTGGCGTGCTGGGGGAAGAAACTGTAGGATGGGGAAAGATGGAAGCTTCAACAACAGCTTCCCAACAGCGTACATGGAGGCTTAGAGGTTCCCCGCTGAACAGCAGTCTGGCAGCAAGGAAAAAGGCTGGTCCAGCTCAGCTCCAACGCAGAGCACACTGAGAGGGTTCTCAGAAATGATGAGAAATTATCTCCTGTTCATCCAAAACCTTCAGCAAGCTCACTGCTTATGGGAGGCTGAGAGTTGCTTCCTGGAACTTGAGCATCTGAACGGTCTCCATTTGAACACAAAGATGTCCCCAAGGTCACAAGTTAATTTTGTAATTGTTGGTTCTTTTTTTCCTTTTTGCTAGCATAAATTTCTTAAAAAAAAAAACTGATCAACATCCTGCCAGCTGAAGCAGTCTCCTTTGGCCAGCTCCTGTAAAACACAGTCCTACAAAGAAACACAACCCCCCCAGCTGTGGGGAACGTGTCTAAGCAATACTTAGAAACAAAGCAAGATAGACATCAGCTCTGCAGCACTATTAAAAAAAATAGTCAACAACCAGTGCAAACATATTCTTTAGAAAAAGGCAGTATAAGAATAAGTTAAAACCTATAATGGACTATAACAAAAGAGTAGATCTACTGCTTTTTTTCTCCAACAGACATGAGGTAGTTGTGTTGTTAGGGAGGACAAAAAAAACAAAGGAAAAAGAGAAGTAGTAAAAATGCTACTCTATACCACACGCTACTCCACTTCATAAAATTAAATAATATAAAGATGCTTCAAGGAAATAAAAATACATGTCGTACATTAAAAGGACAGATGCGTACCTAAAATATTAGGTACAAGAACCTTCATAAAACAAAGCCCAGGTTGGTGAAATGACCCAGACGCCGAAGAAGGTTCTATACAGTACAAGTTGTTAGAGGCACTCGTAGAGTGTGTAATAAAAGGCCACTACATCAGCCTGCTAGCAATGGTTACTGTGGCAGCGTACAAAGAGAGCCTTATAATCCTTTTAACCACGGGAGGGCAGAAAAGGCTGGTGGTTACAGCTCTGTTTGTTGTGTTGGTTCCACCCCCGTGTGGGACTCTGACAAAGTCCATCCCAACACCACAAGGTAGCAGGTAGTCCAAGGCCTCCGTGGACAAGAGACAGTTGAGGAGACTGGCTCAGCACGCTGTGCCTCTTGCCAGTCATAAAGGGGCCTACAGTGAGGTGATGGCACCAGCCCAACACAGAAGGCTCTGCTCTAGCTGTGGTTTCATGTCAGTTCTGCTCAGTTCTGCTCCCGTGAACACCAGGTTACTCGTTAGCTTCAGCAGAAAGATGGGCCCTTATCAGTCTACCTACTGATTTCTTGAAGGCGATATGTACAGCTGACAGGTCCTAATCCTGTTCTGGTGAGATGCTGCACCTTCTTAGCTCGATCCAGTGAACTGAGGGCATGCAGTACCTCAAAGGAACAGGCCCTTAGCGGTGCTTCTAGCTCTCCCATGATCAAAATCAGATTAGTTTACTCTTCAATGATTGTGGACACATGCTATGTTCTCAGATGCTGAGGATGAACTGGTTAAACCAGAGTTACTACACAGGGGAGCCTCCTCTGGGGCCACAGATAGCGCCTGGCACTTGACTGTCTGCACATCCCCCCTGTCTTCCGGGATGGAGTCCAAATCTTCACTCTCCACTGAATCCAGACTTTCCCCATTCCTGTGGAACCCATTGGTGAGCCCGGGGATGCAAACAGCCTCTGTTCTGTTAGTCTTTCTGGTGGCAAACAAGAGCTCATCCTGGGTCTGAACCTCCACATTGCCCAAGCAGTCCATCAACGCTTGACACGCATCCTGCTGGGTGCTGGGAGAGCTGGGGAGAGCCAGGTCACCAGAGGAAAACTCTTCAGGGTCCTGCTCCTCGGTTTCTGTCTCTTGACCATCCAGGGTGCGCAGCTGGGAGTCACAGTCTCTGTCAGAGGCTGAAAAATCAGAATGAACAATGACCTCTGCTTCCACTTGGTGGAGGCTGGCTGGCGGGTGACTCTTCTTTGCTTCATTCTGTTATCAAAAATGGGGGAAAAAAAAAAGAAAAAAAAGCCATGTAAATTAATTGAGGCTGTGACCTAACCAAGCACTGAAATGTGTGGGTTTTTTTAATTCCACAGAATGCAATGGGATGTACACCTGCTGCTATTAAGCATTATTTTGATATGTTTCTCAGAACTGAAGCCTTAAGAAGCAACTCAAATAATCTCAGGATCATTATTCCTATTTTACATTTGGGAAAGCAAGTCCCAGGGGACTGATCTGCCCAAGGTTTCTTGGCAGGCTGAAGCAACCACTCCTCCAAGCCTCTGTCAGACAACAATTTTCAAAACTCACCACTCCATTTCCATATTGACAACCAGATTTCAAGAGCAGCACTTGAGAAAATTGGCTGCTGAGACAGCTCATGGTAAAGACCCACACCAAGGCTCCCTTCACTTTTCTGGTTTAATTTTGGTACATGCCACCAAAGGTTTGCTCATTACTACCCTTGTCACAACTTGCAAGGGTTGGTCTAAATTCAAACACTTCAAATCAGAAAGAAAGCAGTTCACTTCTGCAGAGTTTAAGCAGAATTCAGGCTATGGGTCTCCACAAGCCTGGCTAACAGGTCATTCATTCTGCCAAATTATCATTCAGTAATTTAACAGTCAAACTAGTTTGGAAGGTCCCAAAGAGCTCTTTAGGCAAATCAGTGCTCAGACTCTGCACTGTGTGATTTTGGAGTAAGAAGACAATTCAAAGTATGGAAGTGAGATATCTCGTGTGTAATTTGTGCCTTCTGTTGAAGCCATTTTTTTGCATCATTTACATATTTTAACAGTTTTCCCCTTTTGTTGACAAACTCTGATGGATAAGCTGTGCTGTAAACGGTGCCCTGTAATTGGGTTGTAAAACATCATCTTAACTCTATCCACAATGTTAATTACATCCTGTGTATAATTGATTTTCACACTACTATCTAGGAAGAAAGCATAGGTGGGTTACTTAGAAGTATTTGTTGGGGGTGAGCTTCTTAAAGCAGTAATTAGATCCACCTTCTGGTACAGAGCCAACCCGAATAGGTGCTGGCTTGCTTTGCTGAGATGGCATAGATGTTATGTGGCATAAACGTTAGGATTCTTGCATAAATTCGAACACAAATGGGAGTATTTTTTCCAATGAAACAATACCAGAAATAGCATTTTCTCCCAATCTATACATGCACACAAAGATGGCAAGCGCAGTGGAAACTGCTATACTCTATCTGGAGTTTCAGGAGCTTAAATCAACTCTCAACTTTTGACGCCTACTGTAGACCAAAATGCAATTGCTTCTCCAAGCAAGCACACCACAGATGTTAGTGGCTCTGTGCTGAGCACTGCAGCTCCTAACCCACGGCCACAGCGAAGACCCGAAGGAACCAGGGCTACTGCAGCCCTCCTGCCAGCTGAGCTGCCCAAGACCTGTGGACATCACCAAGAGGACAAAGCCCTTTTCAGCTTTTGTTTTTCTTCCAGCCCTTTTCAGGCCCCCTGGGCTGCCTGAAGTCAAGGCAGTGAGGGGAGAGCTGAGGCTTTTGGAAATGTGTGGAAAAAAATATGCACAGATTTTACTCAAATCCCATCAGCGGCACAAGCATACACTCCTATACGTAGGAAAATAAAAGCCCATAGTCAGCTATTTTTTCCAATGCTGCAAAGAGGAGGAAGAGAGATGGGGTACATAAATGGAAAAAATGCATCAGGATGCACAAGGCAATAAACCAAAGACACCCACCATCACAGCATCGTAAACCAGAGCCTGGAACAAAAGCTTCTGTCCTGCACTGGAAGGGAGCTTCAGTGATCCGTTCGCAGCAGGGAGAGGCTCTTTTGTGATAGTGTCCCCATATCTGGCTATGCTGTTTGTCCAGGGCTGGTTAGCTGATTTATTCCAAGAAGACTGCAGAAAAAAAAAGCAGGAGAGAGAAGAGATCCAATTACCACAGATACAGATTCTTATCCTCTTAAACCTGAAATGAGAAGCCGCTCGAGAAAGGAAAGAGCAAGTTGGGAAAAATACCATGGTGTTAGAAGACTGAGTTAAATGCATGGAACGCTTCTAATGGCATCAAAATAGAAATGCATGTTACAATGGGCCACTGCAGTCACCACATTACAGCAGGGTTACAAGGTCTGATGCAGAGCAAGGGGATAAAAGTTGCCAGATGGCTCACGAGCAGACTCAGAAGGGGCTTTCCACTGCTCCCTACATATCGAGGCTAACTGCATCATGGCACAAGACCCCACACTGCAGGGCCCACTGACAGCAGCTCCCTGCAAAGCTGCCAACAGCCCAGAACTGTGCAAGCCTGCTGAAAAACATTGCAAAACTGAACAGGGATGGCGGAAGTCTGGAGCTGAGTGCTTCCGGTGTTTGCTTTGGCAAAGCAATGCTCTGCAGCATGGAGAAGGGCTGTCACCTGTGAGTACTGGCATGTGTGCCCCAGTATGAGTTGGGGACAACTGCTCTCTCATTCCTGCTCTGAGCTGGAGCCTGGGTAAACACTCTGCTATTGCCCATCCATAAAGAGGCACAAAATTTGGGGCCTTATTTTATTGATTTATTGCAACAGACCACCAAGCAATTCTTAGTTCAGCTTAAATCCCCTGGGCAACCAGTGTTACCTTGTTTGTAGATCTAATTAAATTATATGAGCTGAATGCAATTTGTTCTGGGTTCTCTCAGCTTCCCCTTCCAATAAACTGTTGAATGTACACCTCTGTGTATGGGAAATGTGTACCTTTAAGAGCTGAAGTTATTTAACAGCTCAGACTATTAGTTCACAGGCAGAAAAGTATTTTCTTTCCAGGGTCTGATTTTACTGGGCCGCCCTGCGTGTACCTGAGCTCAGCCTTGCTGCTGGCACACACACACACACACAGACACCACGAGGAAGATGCGAGTCAGCCAGCTGTGGGTGTGTTCCACAGATGTTACGTGTTGCCTGGATAGAAGGGAAAGAACAGTGTAAGGCTGAAGCCAAGAGAAAGTGAAGAGGAAATCTGGACCTGACACAACTGTGAGCATGCATGTCTGTGTGTGCATACAGAATGCTGGTGGCGTCAGCATGACTGCACATCTATCCAAACCCACCAGACACCTATTGCTTGCTGTCAGGCGGGGGAAACACAGGTTTCTGCTCTGCATATGTGGCCACCACTTACACAGGCCTGCTCAATTCAAGCAACAAGGAGCATAGAATGACCCAGCTGAGACAGCAAGGAGATTTCTGACATCAGCCTGACCTAGCATGAGTCATTTGACCTCCTTGTGCCTCGGTCCATCTGGCTGGAAATTAGGTAGAAATACATGATCAGATGCTATACATGAGCCAGGCGTTTCTAAGTCAGCTATTTAGCAAGAAGCACCTCATGCTGTTGGTGCTGGCAGAAGGCACAGCTAAGCAGTCACATAGAGCAGAGCACTGTACCCTGACTCCAACACCCAGTGGGAGGCAGAGCAGTGTTACATCCCCGTGCCAACCCCAACTCACAGCAGCTCTGCCATAGCCTAATGATCCAGCCCCAAGAAAACAGTGGGCAAAGGGCCTTGGTTATGTGACAGCACCCTGCAGAACAGCAGCTTCCAAGCTGCAGCTGTGGATGTCAGGCAGTCCTTCATTTAGACATGGATGCTAGAGGTGGCATCTTTGCCATTCCTCTCTCCGCAATCTTTGATGAGGATTGCCAAGAGATTCCCTAATTGCTCCCCTTCTAAGTGGACAATCATTAAACCATGCTAACAACAAGAAATTAACCAAACAATGGCACATGGCTCATACTAAGGAGCATCACTAAACACGACTACCCAAGGAACACATTCAGTTTGCTTCTCCTGCCATCTGAAAGGCTTTCTGCAGCGACAGCGCTGACTGATGGCTTCTGTGCCTTTTCCAAGGAACATACGTTACTGAGCAAATACTGCCTGGAAACTTCAGCATTCAACCTACACAAATATGCACACACACACACACAGAAATGTGTGTGTCCTATTATAGATGCTTACATGCATATTTGCCATCAGAGAGATCTGAGCATCACACGCACACACATACACAGACCAAACTTGAAAACCTTCTTGCAGGCATCTTGTGAATACCAAAAAATGTGGAAAGAAACAGGCAGCTCTACTGCAATCCCCAAAGGACCATCTGTTAGCGGAAATGTCAATCTGCCATGTTTACATAGGTTTTGATGACTCTGGGAACAGCCTGTTCGGCTCTGGCTGAAATTGGCTGCAATGAAGAACAAACTTGTTTTATACCACTTTGCAACTTTCAACAAACAGAAAAAAACCATCAGCCACACAACATGGCCTATAGCCCACATGTTGTTCGTGCACACTGTGTTTGAGGGGGGAAAAAAAAACACACAACCTCTCTTGGGGCTTTGTCTGTAAGGCTGGGTAGCTGCAGTTAACTCCAGGTCTGCTTTCATCATGGACCTGAAGAAGGTCTTGTGTGCCCAAACACTTCTGCTTTTTAAGTTTTTGGCATAAAAAATGATACTTTTTGTTTCTACACAAGCACAATGATGAATTGCTGAAGGAAGACAAGGAAATGGTCTCTTGGTTTTTACAGCAGAAGAATGAAAGCAAGGAGTGTCAGTCTAATACCATTTTGAAGAGGGAAAAATCCCCTTTTCAGTTCACTGCAAAGACGAAAATGGAAACTAAGAAAAACATCTTCCAATAAAAGGTGCTTCCATTACAGCTAAATCCTTATCAAAGCAAACAAGCCTCTTCATTTTAGCCTTTTTATAGAAACTCCAACCAGTAAAAATGTGCTGAGATCATATTACCTTCGCAGTGACAAGGAATGATTTCATGCAAATATACGAGCTGAGAATGAACATGTAGGAAATGTTGACATTGAAACCCTCTCTGCTTCACGTGGACAGTTATTCAAACTAGCTTGAAATCCTGCACAGAACAAGGCTGGGGATGTTTGAGATGTGCCCAGCATTTAAAGGTGTCATGGTGGAGGGAAGGGATTTGTCCCAGACAGCAGCAGCCTGCAGGAGTGGGGAACCACCATGCCATGCAAACATGTGGCATCCCTGCCAACAGCTGTGCCCCAAAACACACTGCAACACAACAGACCTCTCCCATCACACAAAGGGAAATCTCTGCTAGCTGTCAGCAGGAACACAGCTCTCATGGAAGATTTTTCAGAAAACATGAGGACTTTTCTTCTACACAGAAGAATATCAATGCAAAGATGAAAAACAACCCATGTTGCTCCAAGTTCCTGATGCATTGCAGCTTTCGCTCTCTGAGTCCCAGGGATGCTCCATGGGAAGCACATGGGAGACAGTGGGGCAGTAAGCAAGGCTCCATCCAGCTCACAAGCAGCACAACAGCAAACGTTTCCAAGCCAAAATGCTTGAGTTTGGCTTCATTCAACAAAAACCTCAAGTATTCCATGGAAAGCAGATGCTTCTTAACACTCTCCCCCACCCCCAAATCACTTGGCCCACAAGTAGCAGTGACAGGGATGCCTGGAGTGGAGCCATTTTATCATCCTCAGTCCATCTGTCAGGGAAGCACAGCCGCAGCACCACAGTCTGCACGTTACGGTGCCATTTATAAGGCGGGCTACTGGGGACAGCAGGCTGGGCTCACTGCAAAGGAGAAGACATTCAAAGAGGAAAATCACAAGAGGACTTGTATACGCATCAAGTGTGTCCACTGAGAAATGCAGAGAGCAAGGAAAAGGGCCTGCTCAGTGCCTGAGTGCAGCCCTGCCTAATGAGCTGCAGCCATCAGAGGGTCCCGTGCCAACAGATCGGTCATAGCAGGAGCGTGCTGTATGAAGGGGGCACATCCCCATCCAGGCTGGGGACAAAGCTCAAACCCCCACTGTGCCCTTCCACTCACACCATACCACTCCCCCAGCAGTACTGATAGCGGCTCAAGAGGACTCAGAGCCTGCATGTGAAGAACCTGGTGATCCAAACCCTCAGAACACCCGATGACTCTCCTCAAAGCCCTTGCCTATGACTCTTTGCAGGAGCCTGCTCAGTCTTGGTGTTATTAAAGACTTCCTGCCCTCACTCTCAGCTCTCCATCCCTGCAAAACAGCATTCATTTACTTCTGACTGCTTATGGCACATGGATAGTCCCTTCGTAGTGTCTGCACATCTCCTAACAACATGGAGCTACCAATTTCCACTGAAGCTGAGGCTGCCACAAGAACAATACCAATGGAGAATAATCCGTGAAATGTTAAGTAATGCACCAGCATGGGAAGAGTCTGCAAGCACGGGAGCAGCAATTGCTGCCACTAACAGCAAGTGCTACCCAGCCAACACAAAGCATGTTTCAGGAGAGATTCTCAGGGCAGAGGGCCCAGCAGGCAATTGGAGAAGGTCACACATCCTCAGTTGCCAGCTCGTTTGCATTGCAGCGTTATGAACCTGCCCCACAGCAGCAGTGTCAGACTGTGAGGCTGTCTCAGCCAAGGTCCTGACTTCTGCAATGACGTGATACGATGCAGTCCAAGAACTTCCTTCGATGAGGACTTTCTTCCTGCAGCTCTACCACATCCTTTGCCTTCAGTTTTCAAAACACCAACCACACGTGGCACACAAGCACAAAAGAGATGGCAACCGAAGTGTGAAGACGGCTTCAATCTCAGACTGCTCAGCTTTGAATATGCAGACTGAAGGAGGAGGTTAGCTCAGGGGGCACCTCCTGCAGGAAGGGGCAGTGGGGCCTGCTGTGCGGGAGCACATCTCCCTCCAGTGCCCACTGCCAGCAACAGCAGCCTGTTGCTCCCGGCTGCCACCCAGCTCTGTCACCTGCCAGGTCATCCTCACTGGGCAGCACGGGTGACAGCACTGCTTTTCGGGTGGCTGCTCCTCGGTGATCCTTGATTCTCTGTCCACATCCATCAAAAGCCAGGCCCTCTGTTCTGCTAGCAAATCTCCTTGGCAAATTAACTCCTAGTTGCCTTTTCCCATCCAATTAGGGAGGCAGAGAAACTGCAGCCAGAATTGCCCGCTCCCTGAAGCACTCATCTCTGAACATCACCTGACTGCCACCAACTTCCAGCCTCCATGACAGAACCCAGGGCCCTGAGCTCACAGTCTGAATGGCCGGACCTTGGCACTGCCCTTTCCAGCCTCTGCTTTACAGGCACTAAAACCTTTCAGTAAAGCTTTGCTAACAGGATTCCTTTTGCAAAAGAGAGACCTGGACACACCACCCCTAAAAAGGCCTCTCAGAGGAGGGGATTTCCTTCCACTAGACCTGTTTTCTGGGTAAGTCACCATCACTGAAAACATTTGTTCCTTATTTAACTGAAAGATCTGTAGGAAATTCCTCACACGCTTCGGCTTGGGTCCAGATAGGGAGCCACATTCCACTGATATCCATGGATGCAGTTTGGTTGCAAACTGTCTCCTTCAGCTGAGCACTCATCCAACACAACACCTGGGGATGGTCATGAGCATGGCTTCAGTGCACAGGAATATTAACAGCAGCTGGAAATTTCTCATTTCCAAAAGGCCATAGTTGCTTCACTGCTAGCAACAAGCACAGGTTCGCCAGGTATCCTCCTGTGACATGCAAGCATATCGTCAATGCAAACATGAAATCCCGCGTGTTCACAATGCATTTGTTTTACTGAACCTCCTAATTACTTTACATGCTCTCCCTGGGTTACAAAGAGAGACATAAACAGATTAACTAAATTAGGCCAATTAAAGGTTCCCTAATGGAATGAAATGTTTCAGACAAGCTTGAGAGAGGAAATGGGCAGGGAGGAGTGAAAGACAACACAATGTCAGGCAAACCAAGCACGGCAGGAAAAGACTTCTTCAAAATAAAACGTTCACAGAAATAAAAGGGTTTTACTTCTCGTACACCTTCAAGGGGATGCCAGTGAACACAGTGCATGTGGTCAAAACACCTCTCACCCTAATTACAACAGTATCTACCGGCACTTTGCAGAGCTAAGACAGAATCAGATCCGAAGCAGCAGAACACCAAATGGAGGCTCCTGCATGGGGTGGGAACCATCGCACACATACAAGTCGTTACCTTCCTCTTCCCATGGACAGTGTCTTCAGGGAGGCTCGTGTGGATGAGGCTGTGCACTTCTGTCAGTTCTGTGATGTCTCCTAGGGGCACAGGTGCATCCTCTGGCAGTGGGGACATGAGGGACTCCAGTTCATGTGTGTCCGAGGTGGCACAGGGAGCTGCCACCCCTTGCCTGCCCCGATGGTAGTAAGAATTGCCAGTTGCTTGGGAATCCAGGCCTGGCAGAGCCTCCCTGAGGAAAAACAAGCAGGAGATGACATCTCCAATCATCCTCACATTCCTCTGCCCCAAACAGCTACAAGACTGCCAGACACAGCAATCCAGCCCAGGCCGCTCAGCCTTCCCCTGCAGAAGCAACCAGACCCAAGCGCCAGCCCTGACACTCTGAAGAAGTTGCTCACTGCTTGTCCTGGCATCCCTTACCAGCCCAAAGCCCTTGTCAAGCACTAAGCTGGTTTCCTACCAAGGTCTTTCCAAAAGTTTATCACTGAATTCAGACCCCTGGAATAGCAGGAGGCTTTAGGCTGAGTCCAATCCTACAGAAACCAACCTGTCACTGGAAATCTTTCAACATCTTCCCAAGAGAAAGCTAGCATATCCTTTTCAAACATCCTTAGAGTTGCCCAACCTCAGAAACAAAACCTGCCCAAGCACATAGGTAATAATTTGGGAAATAGTGCTTTTTCTCTTTTCTTGTTTTTATTTTCACTGCAAAAATCTATTACTCTAACAATAGAAAATACTGAGAAAATAAATGTGAGATTACACTAAGTATGCTCCTTAGCTAGCTAGTCCCGTGACTCAGTCTTTAACTGATGTCATTCACTGCATCCCAAACAGCCCATCTGAACAGAGGGAAGCTTACAGCACATTTTGTCTCCTTTACCCCCTGGGATCTGAGTGACACCTACCTCTGCTTGCTGTTGCGGAAGCTGGCACACATGCAGAAGAGTATGCAGAGCAGCCCCAGGCAGACCCCCACAATGATTCCCGTGACAGAGTGGATATCCAGAACATCTAGCAGGAGAAAGACAGATGATGCATCATTTCAACTGTTAGTAGAAAGAAGGCACAAAGTATCCTGTGTTCAGAGAAGCATCAGCTCCACTAAAACCAATGGGCAATGCTTCTATATAAACAAAGGAAAAGAGACTTGGCAGTGACAGTTTAGAATACCTAAAAGCAAACTGGCATCTATGCACATTCATTAATTTCATGCTACACAGGCCTAATAAAGGTAGTGAGATATAGACGGCATGTGATTTTCCACAGGGCTGAGACAGAGGAAAGAGATCAAATTCTATTGTTGGATGGGTTCTGCAGCCACTTGGGGCCTACAGAGCTGCACCTCTGAGGACTGCTGTGATCCTCTTCACTGACCTATCCCACAATCACATCCCACATTCTGCAGTGACATCAGGCAATTCACTGGCAAAAAGAGAAATGCTACTGCTAACGAACCGTGGTTTTTTGCTGTGCAACTTCTGCTCTGGGACAAAGGGGAAATTCATACCAGACAACTTCTCCCGGAGGGTGTGCACATCCTTCACGTTTGAGTAGGGACCAGATCCCACGACTGTCTTTGCTCCCATCTTGAAGAAGTATCTGGTATCACTTTCCAGGCCATGCACCTCAGTGCTGAAGATATTTCCTGATCAAAAACCAAGCCAAAAGGGGTTCAAAATGTGCAGTTTCAAGCATATTCATATGGCTGTAGCAGAGCAGCAGCAGAATTCTGGTATTTAGTTAAGTGTTTGTGTGTGTGCCAGTACCTCAGGATGGCTCACCTTCTCGTGTCAGCAAGGTCCACATTTCATCAGGCTGCGTGTTGTTGGCATTGTACAGGATGAGGTACTCCACAATGATGCCGTTGGGCTCAGCAGGGGGACACCAGTGCACCTGGACTGCATAGGGGTTGAGGGGGTGCAGCCGCAGATCAGATGGAGGGGTTGAGGGACCTGGTGAATGCAAGAGAGCCAGTGAGAACAGCAGAAATGAGGAGCAGAGCATTTGAATGTTCTGTGCCTCCTATGAATTCTTTTCAGTAGTGCCATAGTCATCTTTGTTTGCATAAAACGAGGTGTGACCCATGTGAGTAGGCATCTCATCCCAACAAGCTGTGGAGAGTGCAGGCTCCAGCCCAGCACAGAGCAGGACTTGTAGCCAAACACTGTGGCCAAACACCCAAGGGAAACACCACTATGCTGATACTGCTCAGTTTGAGATTGTGCAGTGCTGATCATCTTCAGGAGAATGAGCACACACACACCCTCCTTTCTTTCATCTCCATTCCCCTAAAGCTCTATCTGTACTTCAATAGAAATCCAGGAAAGGGAAGGATTTAATTTCCATAAATACTCACGGTCAGGAAGGGTGAATCGCTCCACCACGCTGCCAAAGGGCCCATCAATACCAACACCATTGGACTGCACAGCAAACTCGTATCTGGTGTAGGGCTTCAACCCACTAATGAGAATATCTTCATCCGAGCTGCCAAAAAAGAAGACATTCATGAGACTATCAGATTGTATGAAGGATCACCTCAGTACCTTTACCAAATGAATGGATAAATCCTCACTGTGGAAGTTCCAGAGCCACATTTCAGCAGCTCTGAACGTATCTGTGACCAAAGCAGACATTTCCAGCATTTCAAACACATGAGATTTTGCTCAGCACTGTAACTTCCCTGCAGATTCCTCCTTCCTTGTGTTTATTCCTGATATGAGTAATACATGGCAGATGAATCCTCAGCATCCCCCTTACCTTGTGTAGTACGTAACAAGAGAGGCATTTTTCAGGCCCCAAGGGCTGAAGCGCACGGTGTAGTTGACAATCTTGACAGTGGTGAAGTCAGGTTTCTTCCATCTGAGCCATATAGAAGTTGAGCTGTTGGACTCTGCATAGACTTGGACTGGAGGCAGTGGAGGACCCTTCTGCACAGGGGGATCTATGGTGGTACAAGATGTAAAGAGAAAAGAGATGTGGGAACATAAACGACAGTGAGGTAAGGGACACGGACGCAAAACAGGGGAAAAATACACCAAGGTTGTGAAGCCTGCAAAAAAAGGTGCCTCCAGCATTATCATGCTCAACCTGCCTGTGTATGCAGCCCATCCATGCATTTCTTTATGATGTGTGGAAAAAGTCCCACACACCTTGAGGATCCATACACCTTGTTGGCGCTGTGGTGCACAGGAGGTCAGCCTCAAGGGCACCCACTCAGCAGACCCACATCAGATAAGGAGGAGCACAGGCTCCTTGACACCCCGCAACAGACTGGCAGAGCTACAAATGGAGTCTGGGTCCTCAGAGCTTTTAATTTCTATGTAATGCTGTGAGAAAAGTGGTATCCTGCTTACTCATGTTCTTTGATGTTTACAGGCATACCTGGCATTTCCATGACCAGCCCTGAGCCACTAGCAGGGCCAGAGAGAAGACCACAAAGGTTATTCAACTCTGCACAAGAACAATCCTAATGAGAAAGGGGGCAATTTGCTTTTTTCTCTCCTTCTCAGGATAACTCCTCCAATGCAACTGCAATGACTGTCCAAGGGAGTTCCCTTATGTTGGGTCTTCTCTTGTTTTGCTAAAGTCCCTCTTGAAGTCCTTCTTCTGTAACTTTACCTTTCTTTTGAAGCCACATGCCAAACAGAAGAGACAGACAACAAGCAGAGCGCATTCCTCACCTACTGCTGTTGCAGGCGCCTTTTCTGTTTTGCCCTTCCAAACTGCTGCATAACCATCTTCGTGCTTATTGAATGCCACCAGCTTCACCTCATAGAGCTTCCCAGGAGCTAGAAGAAAAATCAGTCAGGGTTTAACCAGGGTTATGTTTGTCAGCAGCCCTCCTCACTTAGACATGTTTTCTTAAATCTGACTCAAGAAAGCAGCTCTGATGGAGCTGAATTTGCTAAAACAGATCAGAACACACTTCCCCTTAGAGACTTTTGCACTCAAATACTGTCTCACAACTGGAGCACGTATTATCACAGTCACTCCCAAGCTCTCCATTCCCTTTTCACAGAAGTGATCAGCAGCAAATTGACTTTCTGCACCCATCAAGGGGGCTACACAGCCTGTAGCACATCATCTCAGGATCTCCTGATTTTTCTCCCCTTTAAGCTAACAAAATCCCCATGGGAGTGGATGTGCTGCATTGTTTATCCTTGGAGTAGGAACATCCTTTCATCTCTTCAAGATGCACCTCTTGTTTCTACAGTCCTGATTTACTCACTGCTGGGAGGAACTTGCTCTCTGGAAGTCCTTAAGCTGCCCATCACTGAAGTCACTTTGCCGTGCCAAGCAACATCCAAGGGTTTTTTTTCTGTTTTCATTGAGAAAACAGACTGAGACATCCAAAATTCTCAAATGACACTCAGCAGCTCCTCCCTTCACCCATCAAGGAGCTCAGAAAGAGCACTCTGGACTATCTTTAGCTGAAGCATGTTAATGAAGTTTGTTAATTTGGGACGTGCCTGTTCGTTCCCTGCCCTGATGGATCACTGCTCCCTTTGCCAGACAACATACGCAGAACAAACCTCTTCTTATTGATGCCAATTTTATTATTACTGCACTCATTATGCTCCCAGAGGCTAATGGTACCAATTACCAAAGGCTCTCACTGCTCCACAACACATGTTCACGCTCAGAATATAAAAACAGTTCAGCCTCATTTTTCTCCCTGAAAGAATCTCAAAAGCAAACAGAGTTCTGTCTGCCTCCAAAGCAATCTGATCTGCATTTCAAACTCACAGGAAAACACTTCAAACTCACACAAGGAGGAAAAGGCCAAAAGGGACTTGCCTTTTAAACAGTTGGGACCATAGACTTGATGGAACCAAGAACCCACAGCCCATCTCCTGCCAGCTTGAGCATTTGGCTGGGCTTCACTGGGACACGAGCTCATCACAGATGATGAGATCCAAAATGAAGAGGAAGAGCATGCAGATGTGATGCAGCTGTGGGCAGCTCCTAGCAGGGAATGAAGTGAAGGGAAGGAGAAGTCCTGTCTCCATCCTTGGATAGGATCAATACAGCAGACACTTACACACGAAGCCAGAACAGCTCTGCTACATGATCAAGCACTTCATATTCTGCAAACAGGGGTATTTTGGGCTTCTCAGTCAGAGGTTTGGCTTCAATTTTTATACACAGGCCCAGATGTTCAAGCTCTTAGAACTGGCAGACATAAAGCTCTATCAAGCTGTCAAGAAGCTAGTAGGCAGCATGAAAACAGATGTATTTCACTACATTCCATCATACATTAAATATAAGCAGAATAATCTAGTCCAGATCATTTCAAGTCACTAATCTGGATGACTGTGTAATATATTCAATATGCTAAATATGTTGTTTCATTCAATTTTTCAAGGTGTTCATGTAGGCCAGATGCCATACCTTCCCCTGAGTGGGAAAACACCCAGATCTCTGGGGAGTCACTCGCAGAGGAACGCACTCTTCCTTCACAGGAACGTGGAAGACAGGATCAGATGCTTATTGTTTATTTTTCAATCAGTGATGGCCCTGGTTGTAACACACCATTACAAAGACTAACTGTAGAACACAGATAGAAGTTGGTGAGAACTTCTCAGCAATAAGTTACCCTGGCAATCCAGGACAACTTTCTTTGGGTTTCAGGCTGCCCACCTCTCTGACAGGATTTCAGCATACCTTCCCAGAGGAGATACAAAGAGAGACCTCAGTGATACCACTCCAAGGAGATATGGTTTCCTTCAGAGTTTAACAAGAGCACAGGAGAAAATATCTTCCATTGTTTGAGACAGCTCAAATAGAGCTGAGACATAACCAAAATCAAGAAGCCAAATACTGGGAAGAAGGATGAGGAAAAGGAAGCCTGCGAGACAGAGAAGAGGTAGTGGAGTCAACTGGCACCAATTTATTAGCAAGACCAATCAGAAAGAGAATGAAACAAGCTCTTGTCTCAAATTGCAGTTTCAGCCACCACACTTCTTCAGCAGCCCATACCCTGAGGGCCAGTCTGGGCAAATCTTCCTCCCACCAGACAGCACCATCAGCATCTTACACTGATATCAAAAGATATTCCCAAGATATAATGTTGCTTCTTATCCCCCTCCCTCACCTCCCACCTTTTTTTTTTTTTTTCCCTTTTACTCTGGGGGATCTTAAGAGAAGTTTCCATTGCTTGATTCCCACATGGACACCCATGTGCCAGGAAGCCCCCCTGGCTGATTCCCATCAGCCACATGCAACAGTGTGAACTGTGTCAAATCTGCCAGTCTGTCCTGAGACTGGTACCAGCTCTGCCTGCAGGACCCCCAAAGCAGATGTAACTACCTGCCCTGGGGAGCTCTGTGCCAAACCCTTCCACATCTCAACCACCACTCCTCCCTGCTCCATGTCCAGACCCCTGTCTTTCACAGCACAGCCAGATTCGGACCCCTTTCTGTACTGTACACATGCAGGAGGACATCATTCAGCAGCTCAGGGGTAGAAAAGAGAACATCCATGCTGGAAGAAACTTGAGACTTTCTTCCTGATACAATGATAGCTGATACACAACAGCCAAATCATAAGGAAACCATTAGGTCTTGACGGATGCCCAGATTTAAGGAAGTAATTACAGAAGAACAAGCAGCCTTCTCAGCATCGCCATGCCAAAGCATTTGGAACCAATTCAGCCCACTCCCGAGTCCCTCTGCTCACTGATTTGCCAGTGGTTAGAGCAGCACGTGAGGATGTTCACATGTGGTTTCCTCAGTGCAATAATTACAGACCTAAATTCTTCAGAGAAACTCGTAACTGTTAACACTCTCTGTGGCAGGATGGCTGCTGCACGACTGGAGTGCTGGAAACTTGCTTAGTGATGACACAAGCTGTTCTTCCAGGTGCTGCAGGCTGACCTTTACACCACGCATCATACATATGCTAGACACTCGCCCCTTCGTTTCAGCAACAGTCACAGATGAAGCATGAAGTGGGTGATGGAAAAACTCTTAAGAAGCAGAACACTGCTTTTAAGGACTCATCTGCCACGATTCTTTTCATTCTCCATCCTGTATCAATCAGCAAGTCAATTAATTAATACAATGAGATGTTAAAACATAATGTCTTATGGGAAAAAAACAAAGGCAGTCAGCCCAGTAGGTAAACCTGACTGCAATTCAGGCTTGTTCTCCAGCCACAGACACTCTCCTATATCTTTTCCTTTAGGGGAGGTGGAGGAGAATACTGACCCAAAATTAGTATGCTGTGAATTAACCCTTATCTGCATTTTAGCATAGAAACATTTCAAAAAGCATGCAATTGTGAAGTTTCTTAGAAATATACAGCCAAGGAGAGATCACTGCCCTAACTGGTGATTTTAATCCAAGCACTCTCATATTGACATAGCAGTGAACAATAATTGATTCATATCCTTTCATTAGTATATACTATGTATATTGGTATAGTCCTCATTTAAAAATACAATCTGGCTTCATCCATTTCTTTCTTTTATACTCTTCTTAGAATATGTCCCAAAAAGCCCAGACCACAAATTATTTTGAGTGCTCTTAGAAACAAATTCAGGAAGGGTGCCCAGCTCATATGGTCATGGACCTACACAGCTGTAGGCAAGGAGAGAATCCTGGTGCTGCTATCAAGTGTGAAAGTCAGACCCTGGGTTTCCATACCTATGCTAGGGTGCAACCAGCTCACCTAGTCGAGTCAGTTCATACTGCTTCACTTTCTTCTTTAGCTTTATGGGTCCTACGTCCCAGCTCTCATCTTCAGCACCATCCAGAGGGCTTTCATCACTGGACTCCTCCTGGCCCACCTCCCGGTAGTAGAGTTTGTAGCCTGATATCTGGGCATGGTTGGCTGGGGGTTGCCATGTAATCAGGAGAGACTCCATCTTCGCTCGGACTTTTAATTCTGTTGGTGCAAATGGAACTAGAAGAACAAGAAAAAAATGTTCAGTCACTTATCTCCATTACCAACTACACATGGAAGGAGGAAAGACCCACTACCCAAGACATACAGGGGCTGCTGAACAGAAAGTCAAAGGCAGGTGCTCTGCTCAAATCAAAACCAATAGTCAGAATTCCCTAATGAACACAAGCATTTCTGGTTATGCCTCAAGTTCCCAATCTGAGAAATAACACCCTGCACCCCACATTCCCAACCCCAAGCAGCACCCAGCCTCCTACCATGTGTCTGGTTGTCCCTGTCAGGAGTCCGATGCTGGGTCCACTCAGATGGGGCCCCGTAGCCCACGCTGGTGCTGGCTGCAATGCGCACTTTGTACACTTTGTTGGGATGCAGTGAGTACAGAGTGATTTGTGTCTCATTTCCACCCACTTCAATGGAGTTAACCTGATCTGCTGGAACCAAGGTGACACCAGTGAAAAAGGACTTTTCCAGACAAAGTGTAGAAACAAACCCAGCAACAATTACATGGTCTACATGCACTCTTGCCACCAGGAAAATTGAGAACTGAAGACTGGGCAGGGCTGAAATCCTGACTGACAACCCCTTCATCACATTCAGCACCACTGAGCCTGCCTAGGGGCAGCTGTCAGAAACCTTGCTGCTGCTGACACAAGAGCAGAATGTGAGCACAAGCTGATGGGAACTTGGGAACTTATGGCACTCACTGCTGTACTTAAATCGTCACCTTAATTTGAAGAGGAGCCATCCAGCAGCCTTGCTTCTGTAAAATTCACCAATTCTGTAAAACCTCACCAATGCTACCTTGAGGTTCGATTGCTCCGTTTTCAGCTTACCCAAATTCATAAGGAACATAACAGGAAATTTAAATTGAGAGCAACCTGAGATTTCAGCTGTAACAACTAATCGGTCTTGCTAGGATTCATCTTGACTGCTGGTGAATGCACAGGTCTTGCTTTTCAGCTGCACTTGACCTACGCTCAGCTGAGAGTGCTGTCCTGATATGTAGCAGCATACTGCTGGGTGTGAACCCTGGACTGCAAACGTCTAAGGTTTTATGATCCCACAGAGGTGCATGCAGGCTCAATGCAAAAAATAAAAACAAAACAAGAACACAAGAGCCAGAAATCACACTGCAGACTACTGATTCAGATCAAACACACAGGAACATGTCCAGCACTTCATCACGTTCCTCACTGTTCTCTTAGAAAGAAGCATAACCTTGGGAAGTGGAAGTTTTGATGATTTTAAAAGTGAATACCCAGAAAGATTTGCAAAGCAAGCACACATGGAATCAGAACAACTGCATTCAGAATACGGAAGTGTTACCATCCCTGCTGAAGGCTTCTTAGAGTGGCTGACAATATAAAACCAGATAAAACTTAGCAACAGAGCAACATAACCTTGCCAGGATACTTACATACAGATTATTGAGTAGACTTGGTTTTAAAGAAACCAAATGCATTCACCCTTCTTCCCCAGCCAGCATCAAGTTCTTCTCCCAAAATACAAAGCACACCAAAGGGCTGTTTATGCAAGCATTCATGGGGCAGCAGAAACACTGGGCCTGGGCACACTGGTTCCTCCACAACCACCTCAGAGGAGTCTGAAGTGCACCAGCAGAGCCCAGATAAGGCAGGGCTGTTCTGCTCCTAGCAAAAATGGGTCCCTCCGTTTTCAGTCTTGTACCTTTTCCCCTCAGCAAGACATGCTGTTGAAGATACTGGAGCAAAAGACAACCTTCCTCCCTTCAAACATACTTTTTTCCTTACCTTCCTTGATAGTGCAGTAGTCAATCTTGTACTTTGTTATCTTGCCATTACTCAGCTCTGGAGGAAGAGGTAACCATGTCACACGGATGTCACCAGGAGTCATGCTTGACAGGGACAGCTGAGGAGCAGCACTAGGGACTGAGAAAACGCAAAAGAAAGTCAGCAAACATGGTGGCAAGACCTCGACACATCTCAGTTGGCTGGAGGCCACTACTTGGCACAGCCACATGTGACAAGCTGTCATGGAGGGTATCCAACATCTACAGATCTCCAACAGCTTAGAGAACCAGAAGGAGCTTTCTAAGGTGGAGGGAAGGTGGGCTGCTCAGCTTCAACAGGCTGCTCAGAGCCTGCTGGCCACACCACACTGTGTTGCCACATCTAGGCGACCCTGTGTTAACTACAAACCAGGCAGGTAAACAGGCTGGTTAATGTGCCTGTGCAGTACCATGGAGCATCAAAGAGACAATAACTGACACTAAAGATACCAGGCTTCAGCTTGGTGATCCCCACCTCCTGGAGAATCAGTTCTGTGCTGCAGGTAGCTTTCATGCTTTCAACTCGGCTTTTCAAACTTCAGACACATACATGTGAGACCATGCAGTGCTCTATGTCAGGAGCATTAAAGCACACAATGCACCCTACAGCATAGCAGGGGCTTGCATGAGGTCTGCCAAAAACATTGCTTCTGTCTCTGTCCTGAAGTCTGTTGTGAGCTGTACATGTTCTCTGTTGGGCAGCAGTCCTTCTGGCACTCTGCCTTTACTGCTCAAAAAAATGCTATGTGATAAGTGGCAAAATCAACACAAACTGACTCTTAAGGGATCCCACTTCAAGCCTGTCCCCAGCTCTACAAATTGTGATAGACATCTTTCTTCTGAGTTGAGATCATGTCTGGCCTAGCAGCAAGTCCACTGACATTAGGTCAGTGAAAGTCCAGAGGACCTGAACGCAACAAGTCCTACTGTCAGCAAAGTCACTTTCATGCTCACCATCACCCAAGTCAATGATCAGATCAGGGTGGGTTTGTTTATTTCTACAAAGGATTTACAACAAAAAGCTATAAGACATAGGTGTAGGCTTCCAGGAGCTGATACTATTCTCTGCATCATCTTCAATGCTCACCATGAAACAGGAAAAAATATCTTTTAGACACTAGTACCCATCTAATTCAACGCACCGTCCTCCAAGGTCTGAACAATTATGGAAGAGGATGTCCGGCTGGCTCCAAGCTGAGAATACGCGACCACATAGAAGACATAGTTGGTGTTGGGTTCCAGGTCCTTCACTTGCAGCTCCGTGGTATCATTATTGACAGCAAACTGGTACTCCACGTTATCTGTTCCTGGAGTCAAGGAAACACCAATCAGCAGGTCAGTGAACTGCCAGGACACCACAAGGTGCCGGGAGTTGGAAGCAGAGTCTTTCTAGCTTTTCTTAGTTTCTACTGTAACAGAACTTAGTTCCCAGAAAAAGAGTCTAGCTGCCACTGCAACTGCTTCCAGAAAGGGGAGAAAACAAAACTTAGGAGATAGTTTGGGTAGTTTCCAAAGCATCTGGATGCACTAAAGCTCTTCCAGCCCTGTTGGAAGAGAAATGGGAGTACGGGAGTGGATGGAAGAGGTGTTGCAATCACTCGGCTACAGCAGCTTGAACTATCCAAACTAACACATCCAGTTCTTTGCCTTAAGCACAGTCCAGCGACCCAGGGGAACTCCCGCCATTACAAAAGGCCCAATACTAAGGTGGGTCTCCTGTTGGTTTTGGAAGGATCTTCTGTGCCCAGAACCAGGGACACAGACCTTCATCCTTTATCACCACATCCCCGCAGCCACTCCCTGGTTGCACAGGCAGGTAACACCTACCCACAGCCCGTTGGTAATGTAACGAGAAGCCAATGATCTGCTCGCTGTTGTACTCTGGCCGCTCCCAGGACACTAAGACCGTGGTGCTGGAGAGGGACACAGCTGAGACCTTCTTGGGAGCACTGGGCAAACCCTCCCGCACAATCACGGAGAGCTTGGCAGTGGCGCATGCCATGCCCAGGCTGTTCTCAGCCACACACTGGTAGTAGCCAGCATCCTCCAGCCCGATCTGATTGATCACCAAGCTGCCGCTGCTCTGGACCTTCACTCGCCCATTGGAGAGGATGGCCTCGCCGTTCTTCAGCCAGTGAATGGTGGGGGCTGGCTCGCCCTCCGCCTTGCAGACGAATCGAGCCGTGCTTGCTCGGGTGCGCGAGATGGTTTCAGGAGCCTGGGAGATGCTGGGCGTAGCTGGGAGGAGAGAGGACAAATTAATGCAGTAAGGAGGAGGGAAAGATAGAAGAGAAAATCCCTTCTCCTCCCCCCTCACTGCTATGTTTTATTCAGTAGCAGCTTTGCTTACAAGATAGGATTTGCCAGGCAGACTCTAGAGGCTTAATTTAGATTCTATCCAAAAGGAAAAATAAATTCCGTATCAATCATGCGCAGCATTCCCTGATCCTAGGCTGTTCTCCCTGTTGGATTCCACAATACTGAAAGTTAATTGCTGATACAGATTTCCACAGGGAAACCCAGGAAAACAGGAATAAGGCATAAAACGGTTCAGTAAATAGAAGGAACTAAACCCCAAATTAAAAAGGTTACATTCCCACCAAGAGCTATCCCAGCACAGGGCTTCCGACTCTAACCTGGCTCCCTTCTTCCCCAGCAGGGGTTACAAACACAACCTCATGGAGGGCTCCGGATGCCAGACCAGGTAATCCACGGCTACCTGGCAGCATTTCTCCCTGCAGCAGTTACTCTGCTCTCCACTCACCCAGGACCCGGAGCTCAGCCGCAGCTGTAACAAACTGCCTGGTCTGGGGTTTGTTAGCACGGCAAACATATACTCCAGAGTGATGGGGCTGGCTGGAAGGAATGAGGAGGTTTGTCCGACCCAGCACGATCACATCTGTGGAAACAGGCTTTCCATCTGCAGGAAGAAACAAGCACAAATGCGGGAGGAAGTTCTAAGCAGAGACCCCAGATCCCAAACCCCAGCCCAAAGGAATATTACTGCTGGGACATTCCTCAGCGCGTGACTGAGCGTAGGTCAGCCTGACTCAAAATTGCCTTAAGGTTTAGTTTAGCAATAATCAAAAAAGTCATGTTTCAAATCAAAATAGTCTGTAGCGCAAAGAGTGTGCCTGGAATGAGATCCTCTAGGAATAGCACATTTGAGGGAATGCTATGCTAGCATACTCTTTGGAAAAGCTGCTGGATCTCCTTGCTGACCCCATGCACAAACGCACATCTCTCCTCACGTGTTAATGCAAATGTCAGAGAATACTGAACTGCTAATGACTTGGGGTTGTTCCATCTTCTGGGTCCTGGAAGTGAACCCAAATTTAGGCAAGACAGCTTGTGGAGAAAAAGGAAGTGTCCTGAGGGTCCAGTCAAGGGCTGGAATTTGGGCAAACACAGCATGGCCAAGGAGAGGCACAGCTGGGCAACTGGGAACCCAATGCCAGCTCTGGCAGGAGTTACTGAGTTGAGAGAGTTAGCCAGTTTACACAGTATTTGCAAACATTACCTCTTGTTCCTCTCCAGCTGCAGATAAATGGGTGTCTCAAGCAGCAAAACCTACATCACTCCTCTGCCCTCAAAGACTCAGTTGAATCAGAGCAGCTGTGCCTACTTAGCACCATCAGCAGGGAACAAAGCTGAGATCAGATTCTCTGCCCCTCCATTTATTTCAGGGAGCTTCAGGTGGCCTCACAGTTCAGTGGTTGCACACTCACAGGAGGAGAGAATCAGCACACCCCACTAGCACAGGAGCAGTCTGAAAATCCAACCCCAGATGGTAGCAATTAGCTGATCCCACCAGGGCTGGCAAGAACCAAACTGACAACTTGGAGATAGAATCCTGTGTTACCTACATGACTAATCCTCCAGCAACCCAGCCTGCTCCTTACTGCTGTCTTCCTTGCATAACACAGAATTGCTATTGCAATTAACCCATCCCTTCCAATCTGAAGAGTCTATGCTGGAAAGCAGAGGAGAGCAAGCAAACACTTGAAAACAGTGAGGAAGCACTTGAATGCATGCAAGGAACTGCTTCACCAGGCAGTTCAAGGAACTGTAGAATCCTTAGTTGGAAGGGACCTTTAAAGGTCATCTAGTCCAACTCCCCTGCAATGGACAGGGACATGCATAGCTAAATCACGTTGCCCAGGGCTTGATCCAGCAATTCCCTTTTCCTATCTTTCCCTCAATTAAAAAAAAATAAAAAATAAAAAATAAAAAATAAAAAAATCATAGCAATAATTAGCTTTGATAATATCTACTCTGAGCATCAGCAGTATCCAGTATAGCAAAAAGTGGTGTAGCATGAGAAAAATGGTAATTTCTAATTGTAAAGTGCACAGGATAAAACAGAAACATTGCTGCCAGAACATGTAATCCTCACTGATTTGATTTCCCAAGTTGTGTCCTGTGAGACTGTTTTTGCTCCTTTTTTGAAGGGAAGAGGAAATATTTGTGTACACTAAAAATCACTGCCTGTGGACAAGTCTGGGCTGAAGACCAACCACAATGAATGGTTACAGGGGAAAGGAGTCTTAAATCATAAGTCGGATTTGTGAAAATAACTGAGAGCCTTTTCTGGGAGAGAATCAATCCCTGAGCTGCAAATGGCCTCAGTCAGAACCTCTGAAGCATCGGACGATGTGACACTGCTGAAGTGACACTTGTGACTCAGGCTGTCAGCCCTGGGTAACCTATGCCAGTCTGGCTCATTTGTACACCTCTAATGAGAACTGAGCATCTTCTCAGCTTCCCATTATGATGGAGAAAACAAAACCAGAAAAAAACAAAAGCCAGTAATTTGAACACAGTAGGATTTTAGAAGAAAAACCTCCCAGCAACACTCCCTGCTCACGGCTACTCCAATGATTAACAGATCTTATCCTGTTTTATAATCCTGCAAGACAATACAAGTTCTTTCTCCAAGGCAATGGCAGATTCCACAGAGTCCCCACTAAGCTCTGAGTCACCGGAGGAGTGGCACAGGCCCGACCCCATCTCATGACCTTTACTACTGCTCAAGCTCCTACAATGAGTATGACTAATTTAGATCCAAAGGCATCCAGACACCAAAATTTTGTATATTTCACAGGTCAAACAGATAGGAGGTGAATTACGTGCTTTGTAACCTTCCAGATTTAATCAGTAATTCCAGTTATTGAGGACATCCTACACCATGCCTCCACCTGCATCATTAGGCAGCAATGTAAAAGGCCCTCATCTTGACCCACTGATTTGTCTGCCTTCTCATAAGTTTTGAAAATGAGTGCCCAGATTCCATTCCTCCTGCTGACAGAGGCTCCATTCGATCCCTTGCACTCACCCTGCCGTATCCAGGAGACAAACGGGGTGGGATCAGCAGCTGCCATGCACTCCATCACCACACTCTCCCCTGCCACCACCGTGGTGTTCTCCGGAGCAGCAATGATGGTGACATCTCCTCCTGCTGGCTGGGAACCTAATGCCAAAAACAAAAAGAAAAGGCTGTTCTTCCCAATGGAGAAGTGTGTAGAGATGCATAGCACACCAGACTCAGCCATGCTCCCCTGTTGTCTCACGTGTGTTGTCTCATGCTTAGCTGGAGGAGAAAAATAGATCTTGTTTTTATGTGACAGCACTGTTTTTCCTTAGGAAATGAACACAGAGGTGCCCTAAAGAGTTGTTCCCATCATATCAACACCAACAGAAGTTAGTACAGAATTTTCTCATGGAACATAAGAAGAGTTTCAACCCAAAATTTTCATCAACTCTTGCTAATTTGTTTGTTAATCAGATGGCACTCAGGGACATGGTTTAGCAGGCATGGTGCTGATAGGCTGATGGTTAAACTTGACCATCTTCAAGGTCTTTTCCAACATCTAATTCTAAGACACCTCAAGCACAGCAACTTCTCAGGACACAGCATATCTTTTGCCAAGGCACTTTAAGAGTTCAGAAAGAATCTAACATCTTGGCTAAAGAAATTCTGATACCCAGACATGTGTTGTGAACTGCAACAAAGAGAGGTCAAGACTCAGTGCCCAGGCCTTTACCACAGGGCACAGAGACTGACTCAGTTACTCCGCATCCAGAGGAGAGCACGCTATTTAGCTGATAGGTGCAAAGACAAATGGCCAACACATAAAATCAAGCAACATTTACATGAAGATTTATAGGCTACATTGCACAATTTCTTGAGAAAGGGATAGGGATTTTATGCTTGAAATGAACCTTCTGTGTCTATCCACTACTGAGCAGAGGTTAAGGGAAGGTTAAGGAAATGCCTATGCAGAGGCCAGATTTCTGTTGTCAGATTAAAACAATCAGAGCATGCTTGAGAAGACCAGACTGTTTGTGACCTTCAACAGCAGCAAGGTTTTTTTTTCCCAGCTCTCCCAGAAACATTCAACTCTGAGGGACACTGTTGTTGATGTCCACAGGAAGGGAGAAATAACTGCGGAGGAATCACAAAGCATGTGGAATTCCTGAGCCTGCTCCAGGTGCTCCCAGGATTGAGCAGAGAAAGCTGTGGGCAGCAAGTCCAACGCAGATCAAAGCAGCTTTTTGCACAGCCTGCAGGTAAGTCTACTGTCTCAGGATGCTACAGGGTTTAAAACAAAGAGGTTCAGGCAAACTCATGAAGGACACGCCATGAGTTTGATTTAACCAGGATGGTTAAATCAAAGCTCTCACTGCAGTCCCCAGCCCAGGATGTCCCTACATTTCCAACTGCCAGACACTGAGGGAGGTAGCCAAGGAAAGCACCATGCCCTCCTTGCCCTGTTTCTAATGTACTTGCCTTTTGTGGCTGCTGTGACTGCACACTGCAGCACCCAACATGTTGTGCTCAACACATTTCCAGCCTCGCTGCCATCTGCTCAGTGCACGAGTCTTATGAAAGAGAGTTGCTTGGTATCACTGCAATTTTCTTTCAGCCCATACAGACGTGAAAGGAACTTCCATCTGTAGTAGGATGAGTATTAGAAGCAGTGAGTAGAATTGCCAAGGCAGAGCAGAGAGAGCAGGAGCCCGTGCTTGACCAGCAGATGGAAGCAGAGACCGAGGAGTGCCCGCAGCCCCCCCAGCTGGGGCCATGGCTGGGCATCAAGCAGCACCCCAGCCCTGTGCAAACACCAGCAAAAAGAGCTGGCTGCACTGGCTAGGGCTTTGCTCTGTTCTATTACACTTGCTGTGCATATCACTCACACCTGCAGATGCTTTCAGCCTAACAGCCATCACATCCAGCTGCAGCAGGACAACCTGGGGCAGGACAGGAGCAAGGAGTTATGTCAAAATGTGGTGGGTTCAGGGACCTCATCTCTACACAGGTCAGAGCCCTGGCCTCCTACAGCACCAGCGCTGGGCTTGAGAACTACTGAGCCAGAAATGGGCTAAATGTAAACCAGGCCTGAGAGCTTCCACAAGAGACACATAAACTGGAGGCTCAGAGAAATACAAAGTTCTTTAGAATGGCAGCTTTTGTTTAGCTCCAGTTCCAGTTCAGCAAAGCACTAAAATCCACAATCGGTCATCAGTCCTGTCCACAGGAACACGCCAAGGGCTCACTGCTCTGACAGCATTAAAAGCAGCTGCAGCCACAGGGACCTGCAGCTCAACCATCCTGGTCTGAGGCAGCCAGGAGTCAGGTCTCAGCCTCAAAAACCCAGTGGAAAAACAGTTCAGATGCCAGGTCTGTTTGTCACTGATTGCTACTGAAATCATATTACAAAAGTAAACAGTCCTGCTTGCTTTTCCAGTACATTCCTCAGTATGCACATGGATGAATGCCCCATGCACCTCTTGCACACAGGGGCAGCTCTCTCCAGCTTTGCATTTTGCAGTGCAATCCTGCAAGTCAAGATCCCCTTAAACAGCATTCTTTAGAGCACATTTTTCTCTTGCTATCTCAACAGGCCAGCTGGATAGGATGGAGCTCAGGTTAACTGCTATGAACTGGGTTTGGTTTGGTTTGAAGAGTTCCCAAGAAGAGTACTCAGCTAACCAGGAAAACCTCTGCTCAGTGCCGTCTGACAAACATCAAGAGCAAAACCAACTTGAGTTTTTGTCTTCACTGCCACTGAAATAACTTCAGGTCAAGAGGGAATATTGTTAGAACCAAAGGAAAAGGGAGCTGCAGTTTCCAAGACATCTTTCACTGCCTGAACAAAACAGGTCACTGAACACATCTGCACCATGCAGTCTGTTTCAGAGTACTAAAAGCTTCTGCAGTGCTGCTATTTTAAAACGTGGGGTTTGAGATTCCTCTCCCAGTCCCCAGCTTTGTTTTGTCTCTCCAAGCAGCAGGGCTGCTCTAGGCAAAAGCTCTGCACAGCCCAAGGCACAAGCTGCGAATTCCTAGAAAAGCTCACCATCACTGCTGCCTTTGCAGACTTGTTGCCCTTCTGAATCCATTTTGCTGAATGAGCAGAGCTCAGGGCACTGGGAAACGCTGAGATGAAGGCACTATTCCTGCACATTTTGCCACCCTGTGCCCATGTTTGTGTCTGCATAGGGAGACACAAGGATGCTATCTCAGCATAAGGGACAAGTCTTACTGACAATATGCAGAAATACTTCTAAGTGTCCCCTAGGTTCTCCTGTTCACAAGTGACTCAATGCAGCTGATTTTTCAGCATTTATGCATTTTTCCATCTTCCCATCACAAGTCAGCACAGTCAGGCTAAATTCAGGCACTCCACTCCTTCACACCATCACTCACACATCATGGAGCATAGCATCAGGTGCAGTGCAGAAATCAAATGGATGCAGCAAGGGGAGCACAGGAGGTTCTGTGCAAGACGCCCAGTATAAGAAACAGTTCTGTAGAGTCTCAAAGAGAAGAGAAAGTGAGCAGGGATGTGAAGGGAGGCACCATGGGGAGCTGCTCGGGACAAAGCACAAAATGTTTATTTGAAGTTTGAGCTTGAGTTATAAAATACAGCAGCAATCTGAAACTCTCAGAGCCTACAAGCCAGCTCTGCCTCCAGAGCATCCATAATTCATCAGCTCTCTTCTCCCACCTCCCCGCTCTTCTTAGCACAGAGCATCCACTAAGAATTCAGGCAGAGCAACAGGAGGAAAATGGTTTCTGTTCAGCCAAGTTGTGACAGTTGTTGGCAGTGACAAGAAGATGATTCTGGTCAGGAACTAACATGTCTTCTCCTGCTTCCATAAACACCCTGCCTCAGCAGAACTACTGCAGGTGAAACGACTTGAGTGGAGTCACATTCAGCTCTCAGTTGTCAGTAGTTCAAGACTTGGAGATACCCAGTGATTAAGCAACAATTTTTTGCTCTGAGAACTTTCTCACCCTCTCCTAGAGGAGGAGCATGAAACCTTATTCATCCCTGTGAGCCTCCTCCGGGAATAGATCCTAGCACTGAGCAGCTGTTCATTAGGGAAAGTCAATGCTGTCACTGCCGTTATTCTGCAGACAATAAAGGAGCAAATTACCCATTGCAAAGCACACACCTTCAAAAATGCAAGCACAGTGTTCACTGAGCACGACCCACTCCCACACCCAGCTTTCAGCTCACAGACCGCCTGGATCATGCAGGAAGAGTGGTGACAGCAGCCACAGAAGAGAACAACATCCTCCACACCCATCTTCCTCCTCTGTTTACATTGTCCTGGGAAGTTATCTGTGATTTATTTCTACTTCTGGTCTAGACCCAGAACAGTGCAAAATCTCTAGGCAGGATGCTTGCCAAACTGTATACTGAGACGCTGATGTATCTGCTTTGGGGGCAATATCAGTGACATCAGGTCTCAAAGTTGAGCATGCAAGCAACAGTTTCTTCTTTTGCAGCTGCCCTCACCTGAGCTCAGCAATGCACCACTTCACAGCAAGGAGCCAAGAGAGGACCAACCCCAGTGGCTTCCAGAACAGCCTCAGTACAGCTCCTCACACCCCCTAACACCCAAGCTTCCATAACATGTCATGAGCCAAGTGCTACCTCCTCTCCACAAAAGCAGCTCTTGCAACCACGCATCCTTTCCAAAAATTACTATTAGCTTCTCTGAGCCTCCTGCTGCCCTTTTGCTATGCCAGTCCCCGTGGTTCTTTGAATCCAAGCTCTGTTTTCCTTCATTAGTGCAGCTGGAGATGAGTAACTTTTGCTTTCAATACAACAGGCTCAGGAGCTTTTAGATATGCGTCTCAGAGGCTCAGAGGAACAACTCCAGCACTAACCACACCTAAGTACTGAGACTGCAAGTCTTCCCACTGTGATCTAGCAGCACCGATGCCCATAGCTTCCAGCACTAGAAATGCTCATTTCTTCCCTTCTCAGGGGCTGCAGTGGCACAAATCCAACCTGGAAAAGCAGATGAGAAGGAACTGCTTTTTGCTTGGCTTGAGAGAAACAGCCTGGGAAAGGCTTTCCCCAGCTCCTAGTGCCCTGCATGGAGCCTGGAAGCACACGGTGACAGCCCAGACACCCGAGGGGCCAATGGGCACTCCTCATTCATTGCCCTCAA